AGCTTACAAGACAAGTTGATACACAACAAACAGACAAACTAATATGGGCCTCCCATGTGCCCAGGGATGATGTGGCTCTCTGAGGCTTTTTCTCTGTGCTCTTTTTACAGGAAAATGCTGGCCCTAAAGATCTCATGGACAATTGTTGGATTTCTAACATGATTACACCTGTGCACAACAACTAATAATCCCCATCAACCTTGGGTGTGGACCCTCCAAAAATGGGACGGGCTCCAAGGAGACTGGCGCCCCGTTACTACCTAGCAGGGATCTGGAAGCCCTAGCCTTTGATTTGATCCCTGTCATGTCATTCCAATGTCTTCAGGACAATTTTGCCATAAACAGCCTTTGTACATGTGCCCCTCACCAACGTCAGGAAGATCTTATTGTCACTCCTTGGGCCATTATTTTTGTGCCTATTGGGGTTGTGAAACAGTGGTAAAATCTGGCTGATCTCCCCCAATCTCTGACACTTGTCATGCTCGGCTATGAGCCAAGAAGATGTAAAATGTGGTGGTGGGGCTCCCGCCAAACTGCTAACTGCAGAAATGTGACCCTCAATGTCACCACACCCCAAGAACAAGGCTGGATTTCGGGGCGTACCTGGGGCATTCGTTTCTACGAACAGGGCCACGACCATGGAAACCTTATCCGAATTCTAAAAAACCCATTACAACACACCCCTGTCGCAGTGGGCCCAAATCCGGTGCTGGTCCCACCCAACGACCATAGGTCTCTTGGTCAGGTGGTAACTTCACCCCCATTGACAACTACCCACCCCTCTTGCTCTCCCCACACTTTCTCAGCTGCTCCAGCACCTTTAAGTTCCACCCTTGCTCCACACTTTAACTTGTACAACCTAATTCTGGGGGCCTATGCGGCCTTAAATCACACCCAACCTGATCTCCTCCTCTCCAAAATCTCATAGCTTTTATTGGTATTGATCAGAGAGAGGTTAGTGGTGGAGCAAAGGCAGAGTACACAGGGAAAAAAGAGTACAGGCAGAGACCTCCAATTAGCAATGCACAGGTAGTTTTTGAGGTATGCAAGTCTGCAAGGGTTTTGTTTCTCCAGAGAAAACAGTGTGGCAGTCTTTGGATAATAGTGTTCAGACCTTTCCTATATACACAGTTGCCTTGCTGTTTTCTGTAGGACCCCCAGACCCACACCCAGTAATGCTGAATTCTAAGGCAGTAGGCTGGCACGTTCGTTTGCTTACTGCAAGTTAACGAAAAGACATATACCTATTGACCTGCAAAGTGATTAGAACTTCAGAGACGTTCTCAAGTACACTATATGCCCCGTCTTTCCCTTCAGTTTTTTCTAGCCTGAACTGTTTACTTTTCCTCCAAAATAATAATAAATAAAATACTTTGAAAAGCAAAAAGTAGTAACTTTTATACTTTTGAAAACTTGCAGGTCACATGATTATTTTTTAAAGGGTTATTGTTTTGAATGAGAAAAGTAGCTGGGGATTTAGGTCAGTGGCATAAGCACCTGCTTGGCAAGCATGAGGTCATGAGTTCAATCCCTGGTACAAAAAAAAAAAAAAAAAAAAAAAAGAATTAAATGATAAAAGTTTACCTAATATTATCAAATCTCAGTAAATTGCATTCTTCAATTCCCCAGTGCCTAAAAATGGGGTTGGGAACTCATATTATTTTTATTGACTTTATTTGTGGAACTGGCTTTTCAGATAATAGCTTAAGACCACCAAACAGAAATAAGGCTCCTTCTCTGCAGAAATTTTAGGGTTATACAGGCAAGTCTCAAATCTATTCACAGATGAAACCAATGCCACCTGGCCTCTGAATACATTTGTTCACTATACAGCTCTTAGATTTCTTGTACTAACCATTGCAGCTGCCCTCTACTTCCTTTGGGTTGAAATAAACCACCTACTTATTAGTGTCTGTTTCCTATAATTCTGAGACAAAAGCTTATTAAATACTTAATTGAAAAAAAGATTTCGTGAGGGCTTTTGATACTTTGACTTGCAAAACTTGAGCTAGGTGAGGTTTTTCCCATCTTGCTTAAGTGGAGGATTGGTATAATTACATAATTATGGCTTGTAACTTAATCTAGACTATAATAGAGGTTAGTATCATAAGGGTAAAGATTATGTTGGGCCATTTCTTTTTTGTCTTGAGATACAGTTTGCCATGTAGTTCAGGCTGGCCTTGAACTCACTTTGTAACCCAGACTGACCTCGTACTCCCAGTGACCATCTTGTCTCAGCCTCCCAAGAGCTGAGATTACAGGTGTATGCTGTCACCAGTCTCAATTGTAGAGCACTTTGTTAGGGTAAAAATTCAGGAATCTGATACTTGACTTTGCAGTTGTTGTATTCTTTTTTAATTCTTCATTTTTGTTAGCTTATTATTATTAGTTTGTGTTAGAGGACATGCTTCAGAAATTTTTTTCCTATTTGAAATGATGAAACTAACAAGCATGCAGTCCATATGTATAGGTTTATTTTTATGGGCCAAGGTTGAAGCTGATAAATTCCTGTTTTTACACAGGTTATCTTCTTGGTGACTGCAGTGACTATTCTGGCCCACCACAGCTCTTCTTCCTAAATTGTATAGTCATCATTGACCTTTAAAGTTTAAATTTGCCTGTTCTGTTGACAACAGGAATCTATTTCTAGATTTGTCTTTCTAGAACTGGTTATATTAACTAATCGAATGTCTAGTGTATAGATTCTGGTCAATTCAGTCAGTGGTCTTCAGTCTTTCCTTGTCAGACCTTTAGTCTTACACCAGAATTTTGCTTACTGTAACAAATAAATGCAGGGCAATGTGCTCTAGTGTGTAGTACAGGGAATAATGGGAACAAATGAATGAATAGTCTTCAAATGCTAAGTTTCTCACCAGTATATTTTCTGTGGTCTTTACACAAAACAGGAGCATTATTTTTACCTCTAGCGTAGGGCTTGAACATAGGGCTTGTCTTGTTAGGCAAGTGCAATGTACCAAGCTCCAGCGTATCCTTAGCCCTTGAGGGAAACATTACTCTGGCAATGCAATACAGGATGATTGGTTGGGATAGCGAAATTGAAAGTAGAGACCATTTAAGGAACACTCTTCCCCTTATGAACCGAGGGTCTTCACACTGTTACATTCTCAGCCCTGAGACAGCTCCACTGAGTTACTTGGGCGAGATGCCACTTTGCCATCCTGCTTCAGCCTCCCAACTGCATAAATTACAGCATGTGCCACTGGAACTTGGCTTCAGCTTTCTTTAAGTGATGTGGTATAGGTAATGGCATCGTAAAAGAAAATTAATTTGATAATCCACCAAAATAAGTGAGAAAACAGTCTCATCTCAAAACCCTTATTCAGTTCTCAAGGCCTTTGATACCTTCACCTCTAATGTATTTGGTCCCCCTGAATGCTGTCATAGCTCCTCTCATAACTGACACTAATGGTGTGACTTTTCCTACTTGAACTTTAGGTTGCTCCTTGAGGGCAGCACAGCACTGTAATGGCTGTATCCCTGCTCCCTGCGCAGAGGTCTGCAGAGGTTAGGCTGTCCTTGAGCTCAATAGGCTGGCCTTGAACTCTCTAGTCCTCCTGCCTCTGCTTTCCATGTGCTGGGATTACAGGTGTGTGCTAGCATGTGCACTAGTATTTTCACAATACTAACATAATTTGACTTTAAAATGATTCTCAAAAGTATGCAGAAGATACTTGTGTGAAGACACTGGCACTGGTGTTAATGAGTGGTGCTTTATAGTCTTTAAATTATTCTAAGGTGGAATGCAAATTTAAGTATATGTTCTTATTCACCTTTTAGATTATGCTATCTTGACGTCATGCAGTTATTTTAAATGTCACGTAGTTTTCCTTGTGCTCAAACATAAATGATGGTATATTTTGTTGTCTTATAAAATGGAATACTTTTCTCAGATTTCCAAATATTAAAAGCATACTGTAGAGCTTTAAAACTTCATTTTAAAAATAAATGTAAAAATGTTTTAGCTTAAAAAACAAAAGCTATTTTTTTGTTTACGCTGCAGCTTGTATCATCCTTAAGAATGCTTAAAGAGGATTTAGCTCAGCAGCATACAGGCCTTCCTGGCAAGCGTAAGATTGCAAGTTTGATCCCCAGTACCAAAAAAAACAAAAAAGACCTCAGGACTATGCACTTGCCAGACAGGGGCCATGCCACTGAGCTACACTCCTGGCCCCTAGAATATTCTGAATAGTGTTGGTACCACCTGTGTTGTGAAATCATTTTGAAACCAATCAGTGTATTTGTAGCTTTTTTTTTAGAAAAAAGATACTGAATATTCAAAATGCAGATGTATGATGCTCCTTGAAACAGGTTTCAAACTAGAAATGATAAACTACATATAAAGAGTAAATTGTACTGGATTGCACTGGTAACAGAGATGACGGCTGAGAAACTAAAAAGCCATATAGATCATATTGCTGAAATATGTCAAATGCGAGAAATAAAGTAGTTCCTCTTTTGAAAATTAGAGCAACTCTTCAAGTTGGAGATCTGTGTACAGGCATGAAATCAAGTGTACTATACCTTACAGATGGATGAATATAGAAAAAAAAAACGTAACTTGTTGCTGTATTGTTGCTTCCATTTGTTGGACATAAACTAATCAAAGATACTCTGCTTGACAATAAACATGTTCTGAAATTGATAAAATATGTGAATGTGTGGAATGACTTTTACTCTTACAATGGATCCTGAACAATTGTATATTGACATTTGTACTGATGGTGAAAAAGCAAGTGAGTAAAACTGTAGGTACCTTAGTACAAATTAAAGAGGCATCAAACTAGTCATTTTTCACTGCCACACATTTGTAGTGTGAACTGCAAGAAAAAGCCAGTTTCATATAAGAATGGTCTTGTGAAAATGTTAAAATTGTTAAATGTGGATCCCTGAGGACTTTGCAATGTGAGTGATGAAATTGAAAGTTTGCATACAGTAGTTAGGATGACTAAGATACTGAAGCAAGAGAGTTGCAAATTGAATTAACTTTTCTCATAGCACCACTTTTACTTAAAACAACTATCAATTTGCCAGGTATGGGACACACCTCCATTTGAGAGGCTGAGGCAGGGGGATGTCCATAAAATGGAGGATAGCCTGAGCTACACAGTGAGATGATCTCAACCAAAACAAAAGTTGCTCTAGCACAAGTATACAACACACATGGTAAACATTCAAATGCCTGGAGAAGTAGGATGAGACATGCCAGGAGTGGAGGATTTTTCTGGAAAAAACCACATTATTTTAGAGGTATTAGAACTGAAGACTTGAGACAAACTAAAATACCATTCTTTAACTTTTCCAGTAAGTTCTTCTAGCACACATCTGTCATTGAGCAGTTGACAACTGATCAGTAAACATGTTAACCTGGTTTGTCTGGTGACATGGTAAGCCTGTAAGTACCAAGGCCCACTAACTACACTGGCTAGAACTTTCAAGCTTTGACAACACTGTGCCACTGAACTTCACACATAACACCTTTAGGTTCCTGGAAAAGGCTACCCTGAAGATGGATAGTTCCATTCTTTATACCTATTAAGCACATACAGGCTTTACTGTACTTTCACAGTATTTTTATTGGCCTTCAAATTGTGTTTTGGTCCTTGCAATGGACACCAAAAACAGCAGATCAGGCAGTTTTCTGAAAGCCTATTACCATTTTAAAAGAAATGTAACCAATCCTTCCCTTAGTGCAGTTATCCAGTGTTTTCCTATCATTAGATGTATAAAATTTTTCCTAGTTTTTAACATTTTTGCCCTCCAAAATAGTGACTCATTCCCAATAACAGATTCTTTTTAAACATTTCTGTGATATAGGAGGCCCATTTCCATGGTTAAAAATCTGTATATCAGGGCTGGGGATTTAGCTCAGTGGCATAAGCGCCTGCCTTGCAAGCATGCGGTTGTGAGTTCAATCCCTGATACCGATAAAAAAAAATTTATCAACTGCAGGTCTTCTCAATCTCCTCATACTCATTTCCTATTCTACTCACTGTATCAGCACAGACACTGAGGAGACACACCATGTTAAATCAGTCTAGTGAGCAAAGCACAAAAATGATGTGTTTCCAACAAGTCCATGTTAGTATGTAGAAACATTAATTCACTGGTTTAGCAGATACTGAATGCTTACTGTTTGCCAAGTACAATATTAGAGACTTAGTAAATATGGTCCTTGTACTTTTGGTTCTGTTAACTACTTACCAGCCTTTAGTTTGAGGTTTAAATGGATTTTTATGTCCCAGGGAAGTTTTTTTGTGTATGTTGCAGCTGTAAATTTTAATAGTAAAAACACCAACTTTAAAAATTAAAAAAAAAAAAAAAAAACAAAAAAAACCACCAGTTTAGGATATAAAACTTCGAAATGTCTCATGTTCAGTTCATTCTCAGGTTGGTCAGTCTGAACAGATCCAGATTAGGGCTGCTGACTACACTGCCACTGTGGACTCTGAGGAAAGTCCTATCTTCTTTAACTCTGATGGAGACATTAAAAACTGAAACTGACACCACTCCCAAATAAAATGTATTTTACTTTGGTTCTGTCTTTGTGACATGGTTTTGCTGTGAAGTTCAATCTGGCCTTGAATTCACTTTGTATCCCAGGCTACCCTCCAACTCATTCATGGCAATCCTCCTGCTTCCTCCTGGGAAATGCTGGGATTACCAGTGTGTGCCACCCAGCCCAGAATTAATTTGTGCCCAGTCCAAATTACCTTTTCATTCAAAGTTTTTTTTTCTTCTCATCTTTGACCAACAAAAAAAATTTCTGATAGGTTCATGTTTGTATTTCACAATGAATACATGCTTTTATATACTGAAAGCAAAACCTACTCGGTTTATTGGTTCCATACCTCATCTACCAATGTTCCTGCTATTCTTTACAAATAGAAATGTCCTGTACTAGAAGAAACACTATTTATAATCCCTTTCATAAACCTTAGTCCTGTTTTAGATCTGTGTTAACCTGAATAAGAGGTGCATATTTTAATTTTTAAGGCACATATTGTTTTCCTGTAGGTGTTATGAAATTTCACAAAATACAACAATGCCTTATTTTTTGAGGGTGAGATAAACCGAACTTGAGCTACCAAAGAGCAAAGCTGCATAAGCAATGCAAAGTAGCCTACTATCTTACAACTATGTTCTTAGCTTATATAAGTCAAGGTGGCTTTCTACTTGACTCAACAGAAAACGCCTGGAAATAAAGTGTTCTATAGATAGACCTCACAGCATTTTAGTAAGGTTTTCAATAATCATCTGTAAAGCATTTTAAAGAAGTTGTTATTGTGGAGGCTGAGGCAGGAAGACCACAAGTTGTTCAGCTTCACCAACCTAACAGGACAGTCTTAAAAATAAAAATAGAATAAAAAAGCCTTGCGTTTAATCCCCAGTACTGTAGAATGAAGAGCTGGAGAGATAGCTCACTGCCAAAGTCCTTTGTAGAGTCCCTAGTACTAGGGTCGGGTGTCTGTGTATGGGTGTGTGTCTGCTAATTGCCAGCCACACCCTCAAACAATTCTAAGGAAAGGCTCTGCTTTCTCAAACCTTAAATTATATCATATTATAGTCACATTTTTGCTATGCAAGGTGAAGGGCTTTGGGTTGGTTGAAATATTGCAGACTTCACTTCTGTTAATATTCTCTCAAATCAAGTTCTTCTTGCTGACATTTCCAGTGTTGGGAAGTACAAAAACTATCACCCATCATTCTTTGTATTACCAAGGTGTCCCTCTTTGTTCATCTTGCTCTGAACAATGAACAAAAGCTTGAGGTGTTCGTTTCAGAAGATAAACTGCAGCATGAAGACCCCCAATATTCACCCAGACAGTATGCACCTTTCGCCATACATGTCCCATTCCAGATAATGCCTGTGTATACACAAAAAGAAAAAAATTAAACAAAAAAACGGGCTGACCATTTGCTTATAAACAATTCAGGCATCTTAAGTTTCCAGTTAAGAAATATGAAGAGAAAACACATCCTATTCAAATGAGTCTCCCCAAGTCTACATAAAAAGATCCTGAAACTGCCACAGACAGATTTTGAGCTAATGTTTAGCACCTTGGCAAAGCACTTCTTGTCCTGGGTAAGAAGCACGGCTCGGCCTGTCCCAGGTCTACAGACACGGCTCATCTCCCGTAGACAAGCTGGATAAAGATTCCAGTTTCTCTTTTTGGAGCCCATTCTGTAAAACAAAGTCTGATGAGTGAACTATTGACAATTACAAAAGATACATATCTAGGATTATATCAAATGAGAACAAACATTCATGCATCTCAAGACATAAAAAGGCAGAGCTTAGCCATTATATGAAATAATAATAAACAGTTATTCCCATAGCTTATTAACTGAATTTCATATAGATGAAATCATACTTTGTCTTAAGGAGTACAGTCAAAACAAACCAAAGCTTAGAAAACAATTTATCCTGAGAATCAAAGTTAAATTTTCCTCAGCATTTTGAGTTTTTTTTTTTTTGAGACAGGGTATCACTATGCAGTTCGGGCTGGCCTTGGGCTCACTTTGTAGCCCAGGCTGGTCTCGAACTTGCCAACAAGTCTCCTGCCTCAACCTCCCAAGTGCTAGGAATACAGGAGTGTACCACCATGCCTGGCTGTTCTTCTCAGTATTTTTATTTAAACTATGATTATGTAATTGAACAAAATAGGCTAGGAAGTGAATTACAGGTAATTAAAAAAAGAACCTCCTGTGATGGTTGGGATCAAAATATTCCTAAATTCTCATAAAAAACAAATTGGGTGAATCTATCATGATTATTAAAACTGTTCAGCAAAAGCCAGCTTGGTGATAGCTGAGACAGGAGGAATTGCAGGCCAACATGGATCACCAAGTGATTCAAAGCCAGCATGAACTACATAAGAAAACACAAAAAACCAAAAACTGTTTGGAAAAAAAAACCAGTTCAACCAGGCATGGTAATCCCAGCACTTGGAAGACTGAGGCAGAAAGATTGCTGTGAGTCTGAGACATAGTAAGGTCAAGGCCAACCCGAACTACACAGCAAAAGCCTGTCTCAGAAAAACCAAGAACCAAAAGAACAAAAAGCAACAAAAAAATCCCCAAAACAAACCACAACAATTCTACTAAGTCTGGTAAAAGGACCTGAAGAGTTTTTCTACATATGGAAGATTGTTCTTTTACACACAAAGAATGATATTTAGAAGACAAATCAAGTACCAGAATTAAGTAAAACTCCTTTTTAAAAAAACACACTGCATACCTTTTCCCAAATGGCATGTCTGTAACAATGATATCCACAGAGCCAGTTCTCAGTGGAAGATTGCAGCTATCCCACTGAACAGCATCAATGGGCAAGCCCCAGGAGTGTTTGCTGTAAGGACAAAGGGAAGGTGCTTCAACAGACTCAAATATGATCTTTTAAAAAATGAATCTTCTCAACAGAGATTGCTACAGCAAAGCACAATGCTGTGAATTATAGTGAAAACATCACCAACTGATCAGAATCTTAAAAATGACACGTAAGAAGGAACTTTATATAAACGAAATAAAACTAGCACGATGACTGAAATGGCAGAGCTACATATAAATTTAAATAGCTAAGATCAATTTTCAAAAGATCTTCATAAGCAGCATGGCAGTGCACCCTTGTACTCCCAGCACTCAGGAGGCTTAGGCAGGACAGCTGTGAGTTTGAGGACAGCCTTGGCTCATAGTGAGTCCAAGGCCAGCCTAGGCATAATTGAGACCCTGTTTCAAAAAAAAAAAAAAAAGACATTAACATCTGTTTCACATACAGGTTAGGAGAAATAAATTAGGAGAAATCATGCCTATAAGAGAACTTTATAGGGTTTCAAAGAGAAAAATCAGTGAAGATAAGGGTGTAGCCAGTACTATAGATTATAAAATAATCATATGTATGAAGTATGAATACCATGAGTATTTAAAAAATGAGAAACACTTTTTCTAAAAAACAACTGATTTACAAAGACTGACACTATTAGAGGCAGTTGTCTCTCAATTTCCTAAGGCCAATTGCCAATTGTAGATTAAGTGACTTCCTATGCTATGTATTCAGTATACACACCTGCAAAACTTAATGAATCTGTTTACTCTGAGTTACTCCTGCAGTTTTCTAAATGAATAAAGGATGCTGGGTGTGATGACACATGCCTATAATCCCAGCACTTGGAAGAGTGAGGTAGGAGAACTGCTGTGAGTTCAAGGCTACTCGTACCTACATAGCAAGAACCTTTATCAAAAAAAAAAAAAAAAAAAAAAAACCAACAGAAAGGAATGAAGGGTAACTATACAGAACAGAGATATGGGCGTCTGATAAGAAACTGTACACTAAACCCAAAGTTGTCCCCAAACACTAGCAAAGAGTGAGGCTGACATAGAAGGTACCCTTAAATAGAATTTGTAGTGGGCTAGTACTTGAAACACTACAATACAGAAGTCAAAAGGATGGACAACACATGTACCCAGGAGCTGATGGATTTCCAAACTACGGATCTCAAAGGCCTATGGTTTAGAAAGAGGGTCCTCTCCAGGAACCAACCACGCTGGCACCTTGTGTTGGGAGCCGCAGCCCCGAGCCCGGTCGCCTCACTTGGCGGACGTGAGGCCTGTAGTAAAGAGTAAAGCCTGAGGTAGATTACCCCTCCCATCGAGCATGTTAGTTTCCTGCTTACCGCGTAAGCAACCCGCTCAACAATATAGTCTGCCTGGCAACTGATGATGTTAGCCAATCAGCTTGCCTTGCTTACTTTAACATGATTGGACACTGTATCCGTATATATACTGGTGCCACCCCTGGGGGGGAAGAAGAAGCCCAGAAGTAGAAGCCCAGAAGGAGCCGCGGGGAGCGGACCAGAGGAGGCTTCGGCTGGGAGCGATCCCAGGGCAGGCTGTACGGAGAAGGAAAATAAAAGAAAAGGTTGTCCACTGCCAGACTTTGTCGTGTGTCCTTCCTGCCGGCCGGGAGCGGACATCGACAACCTTGATCTTAAGTTTCACAGCTTTATGGGAGTAAGCCCTTTAACCTCATAAGAGAGGATGATTTAAGACCCTTACATATTTTGCCTGGAGAAGAGAAGAGAGTTATGTGTGTACTTTATTGGCAGTGGGGTTTCAAATAGTGTTTTTGTTTTTGGCTTTTTGAAACAGGGTCTCACTCTACAATTCAGGCGGGCCTCAAACTCATGGCAATTGCTGAGATTACAGGTATGTGCCACCATACCTAGACAAATTGCTGGTTTTGATCATCACATGAAACAAAGATTTTTTTTCTTTATGGATCCAAGTGGGAGAATACAAATGAATCTGTGGAAGGTACAGGTAGAGTTTTTGTTCTTGAAAGAAAGGGCTAGCCAGGCACAGTGGTACACAACAACAATCCAGCATTTTGGGAGGGTAAGTCCAGCCTGGGAAACTTAGTAAGACCTTGTCTCAAAATAAACAATGAAAACACTTGGGGATGCCAGCTGTGGTAGCACACCTGGAATCCCAACTCTTGGGAGGCTGAGGCATGGGGACCACTGCAAGTTTGAGACCAGCCAGGGCTACATAGTGAATTTAAGACTATGCTGAACTATACAGTGAAACCTTGTTTCAAAAGACAAAAACAAGACAAAACAAAAATCCAAATCAAAACAACAACAAAAACATATCTGGGGATGTAGCTCAATACAGTGGTTCTGGGTTAAATCCCCAGTACTACCAAAAAAAAAACCTCATTGATGTAAGACAAATTTATAGCCTACATAAGTAGAACAGAGACTTAGACTGTATTACAGCGGGCCACTGGTTAGTATCTCTTATAGGACATTTAACAATTATGGGAGTGGATTTCAGCTCTCGTTCAACTCATTCTTTTAAATATGAAATAATGGAAACGGGGCAGGGGATTTAGCTCAGTGGAAGCATGAGGTCATGAGTTCGATCCCCAGGACACCCCCCCCCCCAAATATGTCATGAGTTTGATCCCTGGTACCAAAAAACAAAAGAAAACAATGAAAAAAAAAAAAAAAGGACTAGGGGGAAAAAAAGGAAGATAAAGATGTAGCTCAATGTGAAGGTCCTGGGTTCAATCCTTAGTACTGCAAAAATGGAAAAGAAAAAAGGAAAATAGAAAAAGTCACCATAGCATGAGGAAATTAAATTATTTTGAAATATAAATTATTTTCAATTAATTTAAAATCTAAATAGAGTCTCATACTATATTCATCTTGACTATTTCACACAATGCACGGAGGTCATTAACTCACAGTCAACATGAAAAGTGATTCTAAGCTGAAGAATCAGCTCAGTGGCTCAAGTACCTGCCTGGCAAGCGTGAGGTTGTGAGTTCAATACCTGGTAACAAAAAAATAAAAAAGGAAAAGTGATTCTCTGTGCTAAAATATGATATAAAAGATTTAAAATTCTACCCTTCTTTAACTTGGTTCTTGGTCAATAAAGATGAGATGTTATCAGCTGCTCTTTTTACAGCCAATGGACTATTATCACCAGCAATATGGTAACAGTTACACCATTCAGTAGCTCCCTAAAAGACAAGAGCATGTATTAGAAACATAAGTAACAAGCTACAAAAAACTGTGAAGGAGAATTATTTCAAGCAGTTTGTCAGTAAGCAAGAAAATCAATCCAGTGGTCTTTTCAAAAGTGGCAAGACAATACAATATTGTCAACCTTGCGATAGTCCTCATTGGAAATGCCTTCTCTGCTTGCTGAGCTCCTATCTTTCAAAACTCAAGTGTGACTGTCCACTTATTGGGTTAAGTGTTTCCTAGAGAGGCACTGGACTGTGAGAGCATAGTTAAATGGCCTACACAAAAGTGGGGCCTTGCTGAAGTATATCAAGGGAGTGTGACCATGGGGACTATATCTGGCCTTGGCCCCTTCCTATCTGGTATCTTCCCAAACTCTGCTTCCTGGCTGGGCATAAAGCAAGCAGCTCTGGGACATCATGTACTTCTACCATGATGTTCTACTTCATCTCAGACACACAGCAATGGACCAGTCAACCGTGGACCAAAACCTCTGCAACCGTAAGCTAAATAAATCTTTAGGTTGTAGATCTTGGGTATTTTGTCCCAGTATCTGAAAGGCGATTAATACACAGCTTCAATATCACAGCCTCTGTAACATCAACCTCAACTCTTCAAGCTTTTGTTCATCTGCTACTGAACTTGTGCCAATTTTGAACAATTTGGAACAACTGTTCCAATATGAACAATTATGTTTGTATGTGCCTGCCTCCCAACTAATCTAGGAACTTCTTCAAACAAATCTAGTATTTTATTAAATCCCAGACTCAGCAGTGTCTAACAGGTGTAACAGTCCCTGACTAAACATGGTTTAAAAAATTAACCAGTCAGGCATGGTGGTCCACATCTATAATCCCAGCACTCGAGAGGCTGAGGTAGGAGGATCGTTGCAAGTTCAAGCCAACCAGGGCTACATAAGTGAGTCCAGGCCAGCCTACATAGCCAGACCCTGTCGTAAAAACAAAAACAAAGCAAAACAAAACAAAACAAAAAAGTAAAACTACCCTAACTGTACCTTTCTGGATTGTGAGTTTATATAATCAGATCTACTAGAATACCTCACCCTATCAAAATAAAACCTCATTTTCTTTGTATGTTAGCCTTTCGAATGGTAACTGCCATATCCCTGAAAGGATTTTGTAGTTTTATACCAAAAGCTTGACAGGGACTGAAAGTAAATAGCCGGCTGTCACATTTCACTTACAACATACTACAATCGGCCTGAACAATGTTTTGTGCAAGTTAGCAAAAGGCTTCTAACATGAAAGCAGAGAACGGTTCTACCCTCTGCTTCGGATGAATAGTAAACACCACTTTCTTTGCGATGGGGACACACATCCTACCAACGCATACAACACTTCCTAACTCTACTTTGCCCAGCCATGATGGTGGTGACACACTCCAGTATATAACCCTGCAGGACTATATAAAAGGGATGTCAGAATTTGGCTGAGCAGGAATGGGGAAGGAAATTACATGTCTGATGAAAGTCTCACATGATTCTGACTTCCCAACATTCTTTTTAACACCTACTTGGATTTTCCAACTCAAAAGAACATTTTCTAGCATCTCCATGTTTTAAAAGAAATACACATACATATATAGCATTAATTTCTTTCACAATTTTACTCATTTTGACTATATAGCAGGTTAGGTTTTCTCACACTGGCACCCTCAATGTCTACCTCTACATAGAAACTGCCCAAGCTTTTACATTTTTTTTAATTATTTATTTTTGTACCAGGGATTGAACTCACAACCTTGCGCTTGCCAGGCAGGTGCTTATGCCGCTGAGCTAAATCCCTAGCACCTAAGCTCATTTTAAAAGAGACATTTTGGGGCTAGGCCCTCATGGCACCCACTTGTAACCCCAACACTTGGAAGGCTGTGGAAGGAGGAGATTGCTGTGAGTTTGAAGCCTGTCTCAAAAAATGAAACAAAACAAAACAAGGCAAAATTATTGCCAGGCGCAGTGGCACATGCCTGTAATCCTGGCACTCAGGAGGCTGAGGCAGGCAGATAGTCATGAGTTTAAGACCAACCAGAATTACACTACGAGTTCAAGGCCAGCCTAAACTATATAGCAAGGCCCTGTCTCAAAAATGAAACAAATAAAAAAGATGTATTTTTATTCTGTTCTTCAGCTGTTATTTCTGGACATCCAGTGGCCTTACCTGTTGTTTGACAGACATATCACAGATTGGGTTTAGACAACAGCACTGCTTTATTCCACAGCTGTCTTTGATTACAACTTGGTATTTTCTGTAGAGGTCTCTACAGGCATACTGACTTCAGTCACTAGCAGAATGTAACAATCATGTAAACTAGTTTCCTTCTTGGATTTTAACTTCCAGATCATAGGTGTCACTTTCTAATCAAGAGTCTGATTGTTGGGAGACCAGAGAACATGGCGGACAGACAACAGCAACTACCAGAGGCTCTCTGAAAGGTTCGGCTCAGAGGCCAGAAATAATGCGGACTAGGGAGACACGAATCAGTAGAGATATGCTCTGCTGACTCAGGAACGAACTGGGCTGAGAGAATCCAACTTGGAATACAGTCCTGGCGCTAAAATAGGAACAGAAAAATCTCGGTGTGGAGGCTCGACTCCGCGCCATCGGAAACCGGTTTGGATTTCCCGCCGTGCGGCGGCCGGCTATCTCCACAGCGGCTCAGCAAGGAGAGACGCGCCGAGCTCTGGGAGCGCCGAGCTCTGGGAACGGGAGAACGGAGTCGAAAAAAAAAGGACGGACAGAGGTGTACACGAAAACTGACTGGTGGCGAGGTGAGTGAGAATCTGACCCCCCACCACAGTTTGACTCTAGCGGAGATCTCTCTGGGCGCCATTCCCCTCTCGGACGGGATTGGAGAAAAGTGCCTGGCCTGAGTGACGCTGCTGGCGGACTCTCTAGGCTAGACTAGCCTAACCCAGATCCCAGAGCCGGACGATGGCCCGGAGGAGCGACTGACTTCCGCGTAGGCTGCCTCCTCCGACTCCCTGGTGCGCAGCGGTGGGCGGGAACAACTAGCCAGCGCAATTTGATCAGGCTGTGGCTGACAGGCAGGGAAGCCGGGCCTCCTTTGTAAGATTGCATTTTATAAGGAACAAAAAATATGGGGAAGGGAAGCAACAAAAAAAGCTCCTCGGCCCCCAATCCTGAGAAACAGGCAATAATGGATGCCACACCAGTATACATTAAGCACCATATTGAGAGCCTCATAGACCAATTCAGGAATGAAGTTATCAATGATCTGAAGCTAGAAGTATGCAGAATAGTTAGAGAAATGCTAAACACCACCCAGGAAAAAACAGATGGTGGAATGGAAGAACAGAAAAAGAGGGGAGAATTGCTTGATGGAGAAAACAGAGAAAGCATTGAGTATGTGAAGCAGGTTCAAAGGGACTATCAAGAAATTAATAAGTCTATACAAGACTGGCATAACAGCTTGAAAGAAACTAAGGACAGACTATCTGAACTGGAGGGCAGACTTGAAATATGGGAGAATGAAATGAAAAACTTCTTAAAAATAACAAAGAAACAAACAGCAATAATACAAAGACAAGAAGATGATAAGAGGAGCCACCACTTAAGGATTAAGAACATAGAAGAAGAAGTAGGGACACAAACAAGTGAATTACAAAAGCTACTCACAGAAATAATCCAGGAGAATTTTCCTAATTTAGCAAAAGGTAAAGATACTCAGCTGTATGAGGCATACAGGACCCCAGCTACCTACAACCCTAACAGAGAAACACCCAGGCATATAATAATAAAAATCCCAGAAATTCAATACAAGAACAGAATATTAAAAGCTGTAAGAGACAAGAAACAGATCACTTACAAAGGAACACCCATCAGAATTACAGCAGATTTCTCTTCACAAATCATCAAATCACGAAGAGCATGGGGGGAAATAATTCAAGCTTTGAAAGATAATAATCTCCAGCCAAGATTGAGATATCCTGCACAACTGTCCCTGGAAATTGATGGAAAAACGAGGTGCTTCCAGGATAAAGAGGAACTGGGGGAATTTGCAACCACCAATTCAACTCTACAGAAAGTATTGCAGGATATTCTAAAAAAAAGAAAAATACAAAGAACCCAGAAATAGTGGCAGGGAGGCCACAACGAATGGAGCAGAGAACAAAATGAAGAAGACAAACTGACAGCTACTGACAGAAAAAGAGCTCAACAGAAATGAGACAGAGAAGATTGGATGATAGGAACAGCTATTTTTGAGAAAATGACATCTTAATAGGTAATGCTGATTCAGTACCATCTTGTTTTGAAGTCTCATCTAGCTTTTGTTCTTCTGTCTCCAATGGTCTAACCAGGTTGTATCTTATTGGATTTTGTTATGTATGTTAGTATAAGCAAAAACCTTTTAAAGACAAGGAGATTATACAGAGACCATTGTTCATTTTCTGTTAGTCAATTCCAAATACTCTATAATGCTGTCATTCTCTTAAATGGTTTTACATTGTTTTGATATACTTAATGCTACAGTATATGAAGTTGTACTCAAGGACTTCAGGGAGGGAGTCAATATGGTAACTATTTTTAAGTCGGAAATATCTGGTGGTGAAACACTATTCTGCTTAAAAGGTTATGTCTTGATCTGCCCTGTTTCGCTGTTATGCCCTCTTTTTCTTTTTCTCAATCTCCACTCCATTATATACTTTTTTATTGTTATCCATTTAATTAAAGGGAAAAATATAGCAGGATATAATATAGTAACCCACTTTGACTTTCTATTTTCTCGATTTGAAGCCCTGTATTACTCTCACCATCTTGTTTTTGACTGAGGTTCCTCTATTCTGTTTTGCTGAATAGTATCAGGTTCGAAAGTTTAGGCATCAGCTGAGAAGATAATGAGATTCATTATAACGCCCATTCTCGTTGACTTCTATCTACTTTTGAAGACCTACAATATCTCCAATGTTTTGGTTTTGTCGGTTTTATCCTTTATGGTTTTGTTCAATAGTATTACAACTAATGATATAGGCAATTCTATTAGAAATAGCGGGAGGCATTAGGGTAACCATTGTTGATCACCTTGTATTATGTTTTTATATTATCTATTAAATCCACCCTTTTGACTTGACCGATTCTGTTCTGTTATGTCACATTTGGTTTTACTCTCTTCCAAAAAAGCAATAAGAACAGTGGGAGCAATGAAACCCAAAATGTGTAATAGTCACTGTACAAAAGAGAGGAAAAGAAAATGCTCTAAACTATATAACTGCATGTATATTTAAATGTATAAGACAGAAAATGATATCACAGAGTTCTAATGGATCATTGAACAGAACTGTTTGCAGTATCATTGCTGGAATGTCCACTCTACAAACTTTAATTCTGTGACTTGAACAATTATTTCTAAGATGGCAATATGTAATCTATTAACTAGTGATTTCCTACTGCGCATTTTTTTCTTCTGTAAATCTGTATAACTTGTACCCTTCACTGTTTTTTTTTTCTTTTCTTTTCTCCTTAAATAAAAATTAAAAAAAAAAAAAAAAAAAAAAAAAAAAAAAAAAAAAGAGTCTGATTGTTATTCTCCTTGGTGGGTTGCTATGGACTTGCTCATCTGTCCAGTTGCTGCCTCTACAATCTGTGGGGTCTCCTCGCAGCTTTTCCCCACTGGCTTTTGGTATACCATACTGAAGAATTTATTATGTTTTACCTAAATGTAAGTGATTTTACTGAGCTCCCTCTTCTAAATAATTTCTATATACATGCAGACTGATTCACTAAAATTCTATTGCTAAATGTTCTCTACTTAGAAAATACCTTCCCATTTCTTGCTTTGCTTATGTAAGTTTTAAGAGTCCTTTCAATGTCATCACAATTTTGAACACTACTGAACAGCATTTGGTATGCAGCGTTATCAATGTCCTAAAAAAAATCTAAGTAACACTTATGTTTCCCATTTTTACAGTGTTGAGGATTGTTCCAGGGCTGTCTTGCACAAGCTAGACGAGCGCTACACCACTGACTGTACCTTCAGTGCTTCTCCTCTTTTAAATATACTCCCTTCCTCTAGGAACCTAAATAATTTAAAATTATGCTTATTATACAAAGATAAAAACCCCATCTTCCTTCAGTTTATGCTTTTGTCTTCAATTAGCTTTTCCTATTCCATTTACTGGCTTACCTAATACAGAAAACACTCAACAGTTTGTATCTTCATCTTCCTCTTAATCAGATGAATAATCACTATCTAGTCCTACTACACTTGGCCATTTGAAACAGGTGCTTACATTCACTGCACCAAAGTGCTAACTTTACTACTGTAATTCTTTCAAAACTCTTGGGTCCACTGATTTAACCCAGATGGTTTCTTTGTGTCTAATTTGCCCATTAGGTTTAGATCAGTATAAGTGTATCCAAAAACTTACGTAAATACTAATGGAAGCTGTACTCCCAGCGCTTGATTACAGTACTGCCTCACGTTCAACACTAGCTAGATTACATAGTGAGTTCAAGGCCAGCCTGAACTACATAGCCACGCCTTCTCTCAAAAACAAATAAAGCAAAAACTAATGGAAATGTATTACCTCTATTGGTATTGCCCCTGTTCCACACATTGGATCAACTATTATATCAGTAGGTTGAGGTGCACAGAGCCTGGAGAAAAAACAAAAAAGAACAGTCAACATATATGTCAACCAAAAGCTAAGGCTTTATTTTAAGTTCAAGGCTCTACCAAACTAGCATGAAACAATACCTGGCTACAGCCATCTTAAAAATAAATTTGTAATTACATGTTGGCTCTATGACCTACCACTTGAAAAAAAATATAGAAATATAAACAGTCCCCTTTGACTATCCCCTGAAATCTTTTACTTCCAGTCCACTGAAAATATGCATGTGTGCACATACGCACACATTTTTCAAAAATGCTGATCTGTATGTAAACCTGCACAACAACATTAAAAAACTCAAACATGTCTCAAGTAAAACAAGTGCCAAAGTAAACTGACTGGCAACGAGACAATCAGGATGCCGTTTCTTTTCTGCTTTTTGAGACAGGGTTTCAGCTCTGTAGTACAGGCTGGAGTTCAACTCACTACATAGATCAGGCACTCATTGCAGTACTCCTGCCTTCATCGCCTGTGCTAGGATTACAGTGTGTGCCACTAAACTCAGCTCATTTAATTTTTATAGATAACCTCAGTATAAAATAATTCTTTATTAGGCCCAGCATGGGGGCACATGTCTGTAATCCCAGCACGCAGGAAGCTGAGGTAGGAGGACTGCAGTGAGTTGGAGGCCAGCCTGGGCTACAAAGTGAATTCAGGGCCAGCCTGAACTACATAGTGAGACCCCGTCTCAAAAAGACAAAGAAAAAACAACTGTACTTTGAGCATTTAGTATTTGACAAGCATGACTTTAAGCTCCTTTCACACATCATTCATTAAATATTCTTTAATAATCCTCTTAAGTTGGTTTCTACTATTATTATTTTACAGGTAAAGTAAAATATTATCTGTTTAGGGTTACAAAACTAATAGTGGACAGTTAGGATTTGAGCTGATGGCTTAAGTGTCACCTCTTCAATGAAGCATCCTACCCTAAAGTCATCAGGTTTCTCTTTCCTTCTCACGTACTAATCTCTTCACATTCCATTAAAGTACTCAGCACATGCACAGAATTATTTATCTTCCTCACAAAACAGATTCTGTGTGTAGCTCAACTTCCTTGTTCTTATCCCTCAACACATGATAGACTCCTTGGCAACTGCCTTGTGGTAGTAAGCAACCCTGTATTTTCAGCCATGGCTCACAGGGAACAGAGGTAGGTGGACGATGATTTGTCAAAACTATGGTATACAAATCCTCTGCTGTTTGGAATTTTGGAATAAAGAGATAAAAATCCTCCCCCTGGTACTGGTAACAATGAAAAAGACCAAAAAAAAAAAAAAAAAAAAGAGATAAAAATCCTAGGATGTTCACGCCGACTGTGTAGAGCTGGAAATACATAAATTTAGCTGAAGGACTAGGGACTAGCTCAGTGATGCAAGCACCTGCCTCACAAGTACAAGGTCATGAGTTCAATCCCAGTACCAATAATAAATAAATAAATTTAGCTGAAGACAGCCATGTACACAGAATAACAAAGGAAGAGCCCACAGGCTCTCAGAAAACATAGGAGCCATTGCCTGGGTTTCTGGTGTTTTCTAAAACCTGGTTTCTGCTATTCTTCAACATGGGGGAGCCGCAAGACTTCACATTGACTGCCCTACCTATCCAAGCATAATCTTTTAAAATCCTAGTTAGGTTACTAATATTTGTACCCAAAATAAATCTCTGTATCTCTGTATCGCTCCTATAATAACTCCTGATGGTAGACAATAAATGTCTGAATGATGAGGTGGGGCCGTTAATAAGCCCAGCTGTTTATTATCTGCACTGAACATGGTCCAACTGTCTTTTTTTTTTTTTTGTCTTTTTCCTTTTTTATCTGTACCAGAGATCAAACTCACGACTGCCCGCTTACAAGGCAGGCGCTTATGCCGCTGAGCTAAATTCCCAGCCCCTGGTCCAACTGTCTTGAACTATGACTCCATAGAAGAGCAGGATAAAAGAGAAACCAAAGATTGGAAAGAAAGAAAATACAATTACTTAACTACCATGATAGGAGAGGCACTGCATATGAGTTATTATATTTTACACATATTTCTGCATTTAATCCTTAATAACAACACTTTCCGTGCCACACCAAACCCCATTTTGTAGTGTCAGAATCAGCAGCCTGAGAAGATACACTTCCCAAAGTGGCAGAAAGAAGCCCTCAAGAAAAGGGGTAAGGACAAAAGAGGGAAACTTAGGTACTATACTCTGAAAAGCAGAAGATTTGCAGAATGATAACTAGCCTGGTGTGAATGAGTTGAAGTTTTATATGCTAATTTACATATTAAACTTCTGCTTTATCTACTTCACTTTACAGAAAGAAAGCACAGCAAAATCTGATCTCCCAGCACAGTATATGCTTCCTAAACAGAAATGTGGTCATTCCATTTAAGAGGCAGATGAAATTATCATTCATATTTGAAGGTCTAAGGAAACAGAGAAACTGGTTTCATACTTTCAGAATCACAAGGAATCATTCAATAGTGGAGAAAGAGTTCTATTACTAGTTTTTAAAAATCTTGTTTTTGGGCCAGAGATATAGTTTAGTGGCATAAGCATCTGCCTAGCAAGTGCAAGGTCCTGAGTTTAATTTCTAATACCAAAAATAAAAATCTTTTCTTTATTAAGTTCATCAGTACAATTTCTATATACATACTGATCACATCACCAAAGGAAAAATCTTGTTTTTCATCCATTCAATTCTAACAGTATCATACCAAACAGAGGGGGAAAAATTAGTATTTGGAAAAGAAAATTCAAAGCAAGGTGTTACTGTAATCTGTACAGCAAAATACTCATTCTTTCACCTGAGCATCCCATAAGCAAGAGTTGATCTCAGAGTTGTTGGTCCAAAATGTGTAATATTTCTACGGTGGAGACTCTCCTCAGTCAGTGCAATGCCCACAACCATTTCATTGTTATGGATATTCAAGAGAACCTATGATAAAGTTAAGACAGAAGAAAATAGCTTCAGGATTGTTTATACTGTACTTACCACTAATATTTTTAATTTGAGGCTTTATAAAATCAACTTGTTTGGTTGAGGTATATTTTGCACACAGGCACACAAATCTTAAATGCATAAGTTTTTACTTAAACATAAAATTATATAACCACTACCCAAGCAGTTATATAGTACTTCCAGCCTCTGAGGCTTCCTTTGTCTCCTCCCTGCTCAATGTTCACTAAAGGTTAATTGTTAACCTGACTGCTGCCACTATAAACTAGTCATTTCCTTAAACTTTATATAAATAAAATGGCATATACTTTTTTTTGTATGAAGTCTGTTATTTTTTCATAAATTATACAGTATTTTGGCTAACAACTTGACTTTTGCCCAAATTTTATAATGCAAACATATTTGAAGGTTTCTGGGTTTTTTAGAAAAAAAAAATTTAGACATACAGAAGTACCACAAGACCACTGGCACGCTGAATTCCTAATTGTACACTTCAGCCAGATTAACCAACTTAACACGGTACCACATTTACCTTATCATCTATTGTTTTCATACTTTTTTTTTTTAAATTAGACCCACTTGACCTGTACGCCTGTGATGTTATGGCCTTTTCTGACTGAATTATAATTTACCTAAATAAAAATAGTTTCTCAATCTCCTACCTAAAACAACTTCATCATGATCTTGCCGATAGTAGATATAGCTGTAATATTCCTACATGCAAGACGCTGTTCTACACATTATACTCATGCCCCACAGCATGGATTCCTGTACAGATAAGAAAACAGGCACAAGGACAACTCACTTGCCCAGTTATACAGCGTCTAAGCTGGGACTTACACGCAGATGGCATAGCTCAAGAATGTGACCTTCAAGCCACCTTACTATCGCTTCTCTATTTAAGGGCCCATTCAGTTTTATGACAGCTGTATGAGGCAGAGAAAAGTGAGGAGTTGATTTGACATGCCAAAAAAAAGTTACAAAGAGAATCTTGCTCTAAATTCAAGTGTCTTAAAACAAGAGAAATTAACCTCTTGGTAACAATGACAGTTGCTAGAGATCCTTTAAATAGTCAGGTTTAATGTCCTTCCAAGTCATTCTCTTCCTGTTGATTTTCTTTGCTGTGTTTAGCACTATTGAAAGTTACTAAATTTGCATCGTCATCAAGGCTCCTCCCAGAATGTAGGTACATGACCTCTGCCATGTAGTTCAGGTCAGTACTGCCAATCAATCACCTGAGCAGTGAGAACGACTGTTTTAAGCATGCTAAAAGTATTTGCTTTGGGAATTAGGTCGAGTATTAGCACAAATGACTAATTTGAGGTTGAGGTTTCCAAAGTGCACTTCACCTTTTTTAGTACCAAAACTATGAACAAGACATAAAAATTGTTTTAATTCTGGTTGAATTTTATAATCTGAAAGTATACAGAATACAGAAGAAAAAGTACTAGACTATAAATTAGAAAACTTGTGTCTTAATAGCTCCCATTTACCAAGTACTGAGCAAATGCCACGGTCTTGCAACAAAAATGTACTTTAAATGTATTATTTTGACAGGTTTGATGGGATGTGTGTAACCCCAAGGAGGATGAGCACCAAGACAGAAAGAGCTCAGTTTTGGTAACTCATTAACTAAGGGCTAAAGTTGGGCATGGTGGCAGATACCTGGAGGCTGAGGCAGGATGACTGCCATGAATTTGAGACCAGCCTGGGTAGTGAGTTTAAGACCAGCCTAATCTGAACAGCAAAACCCTGTCTCAAAAAATAAACAAAAAAGCCTGAGGATATAGCTCAATGCAAAGGTCCTCGATGCAAAAATCAAAAAACTACTACTGGTCAGCTGGGGATTTAGCTCAGTGGCATAAATGCCTACCTGGGAAGCACAAGGTTATGAGTTTGAGCCCCAGTATCAAAAAAAAAAAAAAAAAAAAGTGAATACTCCTACTGGTTCCACTTGTAAAAGGCCAAGAGAGACAATCACTTCCACTGTTACACACTTGTGGAGCCAAAACTGGATGCAGATCTATCAAGTCTCCATACCAAATGTTCTTTATCTCATGCTACTAGCCCTACTGTCTCAGTTTAAACGTCCCTGATACTGGGTTAGTCTGAAAACTCTGTATCTATCACAGCCCTCCTAACCATCAGTCAGAGGATGTACCTACCTCCACATCGAAGTTGGTCATGTCAGCCTTCCACTTGAAAAGACCTTGAACAGCACCCCCAAAATCTCTTGCAGCCTCATTTGAGGTAAAGCAGTGTTTTTCTCCTGCCCTGTTGCATGTGACTCTAAACTTCAACACCTGAGGCTCAGTTTCTGCTTTGGAATGTTCATCATTCTCACTTTTGGAAGATGCCAGGTCATCACCTACTAAGGTTGATATTTCCTCTTTGATGGCTGGATTTTCATAATAGTCTAAGATATGTGAATCTAAAGCATTGTCGATAAATCCTTTATCATCTCTCTCATCTAATTTGTCTCCTTGTCCATTTACAATTTTCTGTTTACTAGAATTCACATTCATCTTTTTGTGCTTTGTTTTTTTTTTCTTGAAACAAGTATTAATTTCCCATATTTTTAAAGGATCTGACCATGGCAGTTTCCCAGCCAAGTCTTCGAAATCTTTCAGAGCTTCTTCCTATAAAGGACAGAAAATGAAATTCATTCATTTCTCACTACTTTATTTTTTGTTTTTTTAGACAGAGTCTCATTATGTAGTTTAGGTTGGCCTCAAACTGCCAGTGATCCTCCTGCCTTCAGCCACCTGTGTCCTGAGATAATAGCCAGGCAACACCGCTCCCCAATTCATTTCTCTGTTCTTAAATAAACCTCTACTTTGCTACTAGTCACTTTGTTGAAGGTTGGGAGAGGACATAAGGCAAGAGAGTAAAAGAAAAAAAAACTGCCTTTAGTCAACAAAACTAAGATTTCAATGATAAACTGAGATATATACATTAAACTAATATAGATTAATGTAAGAGCTGGGCACGATGGGGCATGCTTGTGATCCCAGCACTTGCACTTTGGAGGCTAAGCTGGAAGACTGCTGTGTGTTCAAGGTCAATGGGCTCACAGTGAGACTCTGTCTTAAAAAAAGTAAGTTAAACATAACAGAAACTATAACTAATTCCCCTATCCCCTTTTTTATCTCCAGTACTGACAAACCCAGGGCCTCTGCTCAGAGGCACATCCTCAGCCTTTTTTATATTTTGAGAGAGGGTCTTGTTAAGTTACTTCGGCTGGGCTTGAACTTCTGATCTTCCTGCCTCGGCCTTCCAGAATGCTGTGAGTATAAAGCATATACCACCATGCCCATCTTAAGTTAAAATGTAAACTGTGAGAAGCTACCTCAAGAAGGGGATGGAGGTGGATAAAAGACAGGGAAGAGGAAGAAAGATAACTTAAACACTCTCTAGTTTTTGAGAAAACCCTGTTCAACTCTCCTTTCCTCTATGGTTGCGTGATATAAAGGAGGAATACTACGGCTTATTACATATTAACTACTTCAAAAAGAAAACTTTTTAAAGGCAAAAATCTTCAGCAGCTAAAAATGTATCTGTTGATTCTTAGAGTCATTTTTTTAAAAAGAAGAATCCTGTGATGTCCCTCTCTTGCTAAAAGCTCTTGAATAGCTTCCCACAGTACTACAGTCTAACTCCTGCCTATTCTCTTACATATTTCAGGGCCACTTTTTCCACTCCTCTTTTATCTCTACTCAGAAGGTACCTGCTTCACACTCTGCACTGGGACTTCTTTTTCTTTTTTTTTTTTTTTTTGGTCTTTTTCGTTTTTATCGGTACCAGGGATCGAACTCACGACTGCCTGCTTGCAAGGCAGGTGCTTATGCCGCTGAGCTAAATCCCCAGCCCCTGCACTGGGACTTCTTCAACACCCCATCTTCTGAGACGCCTGCTTTACTGAATGTCCTTCCAAGTCATTCTCTATTTGATTTTCTCTGCCATGTTTAGCAGTATCAAGGCGACTCCCAGAATGTAGGTGCAAGACCTCTGCTATGAGCCACACACCCAGAATGATATCGGCATGTAAAAAGTGGTCAATAAAAAACTGCTGGATAGTGTGTAATTAAGCAATAAAACATGAAGTAGAGAGCACTGCTGTCCAATAGAGCAGTCACTAGCCACATATAGTTGTTGAAATTAAATGACTGAAAATTACCGAAATTAAACAGTTCCTCAGTCAGTTTACCTACATTTCACTCACCACCATCTTGTGGTTAGCATGCTGGATGAGTATATAGAGGACATTTGCATCAGAAAGTTCTATTACACACAGTACTGGTATTGACTGTGTTACTAAAGCACAAGGCAGAAAGAAATCAGTGGTGACTGATGTAACTGAGACTGGCACTACTGAATCCTGTTGAAATAGCAAATTTAATTCAATCTATAAATAATTTTCCTATAAAGGGCCTGTAGATGAGAGGTTGGTTAAAACAATACTGGCCCTGCCTGCCTTTGTTTGTTCCTTTCTCTTTCTTCAGAAACTGTTTTAAAAGAAGAATACAACAGAAATACCAACTTTTGCCTTGATAAGAATATCGGTAAAACCTGGAGCTATAATGTAAGAACTTTCAAGTGCAGTAAAGGTCAAACAGAAGTGCGGGATAAAATAGGGAGAAATCCAGCAGATCTGAGATAAATTAAAGGATAAAGCACCTCTACAAAGCAGATAGCAAAGACAGGCATGATGGTACATGCCTGTAATCCCAATACTCAGGAGAATGAGGCAAGCCTAAGCTACATAGTGAGTTCAAAACCAGCCTGGACCAAAGAATGAGACCCTGTGTCAAAAAAAAAAAAAAAAAAAAAAGATAGCAAATAATCTTTACTTGGAACACCAGGCAAGTGGTGAAGAAAGTGTCCCTGGACCTCCTTTGTGTTGAGCAACAGCAGGGGAAAGAAATGTAAGCTGAACAAGAATTTCGTGAATATGTCACATTTGCTAAAAGTACTCTATTACTGAGGTAGGGTTAGGGATATAGTTTATCCCTTGGATTCCCTGGAAATTGGTTCTAGAACCCCTGCAGATACCAAAATCTGTGATGCTTCAGTTCCTTATACCAAAAACCTAGTATTTGCATATAACCCACATACATTCTCCCATATACTTAGGACAATTATGCTCTGCTTTGTGAATAAAGCTGAAGCTGCTGATTCTTTCCACCTAGGAAGAAGGTTAAAAGAAATCATTCAATGGAATAGGATTTTATATTTCAATAAAGCTATGAAGGAAAGAGAAGGAGAGACAGACAGACAGATGAACACACTCACTCATCCACACTTATATCAGTCAGGGAGATTTCCTGCTGGCCTGGTCACACCTGTGGCTTCTCTACCACAAGAACCTTGATAGAAAGCAGTTCTGGGCCATGAACATAGCTCAGCAGCACAGCATCTGCCTGGCAACTGCAAGATCGTGAGTTTGATTCCCAGTACCAAAAAGAAAGAAAGAAAAAAAGAAAGAGAAAGAGGCAGAGTAGTAGTTCCAAACAGAATTTCTTTATTAAAAGATAAGCAATTCTGAAGTTATTAGCACAAGGTTTACGTAAAAGTAGTAACAGAGAAAAAAAAAAAAAGAACATAAAGACAAACAGCAGCAACCAGAAAACTTGGCACAAAGCAGTGAAAAACTGATTAGACACAACCACATCAAAAAATAAAGGGCCAGGTATGGTGGGGCATGCCTATAATCCCAGCACATGGGAGGCTGAAGTAGATGAGGGCAGTTAGTTGAAGCTGGACTACAACTCATAAGGTGACTTCAAGACCAGCCTCAACCACACAGCAAGACACTGTCTCAATAAATAAATAAATAAATAAAATAAGAAGAAACACATTTGTAAATATGAGCTCAAAGCAGAGATATAAAAGCAGATAATGAGGTGAGCCACCAGAAAGAGACAGAATGGGAACCTGTATAGTCAAACAAAATGTGGAATAAAAATATGAAACCAAGGCAGACCAGATGAAAACAACACATATAAGACACCCCCAAAAGCACAGCAAAGAATGTGGAGAAAAGAAAAGCAAAATGGCAATGAGCAAAACAGTTACAAAGGATCAGAGAAAAATAATATGAAAACACAGTCAAGCTGTGCACAGTGGTACACATCTGTAATCTGCCCAGCCTGAGAGGCTAAGGTAAAGGACTGCAAGTTCAAGTCTAGCCTGGGCAACTTTAGCAACATATTGCGACCTTGTATTGAAATAAAAATAACACATTAAAAAAGGGCTGGGAATGTCACTCTAGGTTCAATCTCTAGTCACACACACCCACACAAACAGAACAGTCAGAAAAGATCCCACATATGTAAAACCAGTTTCCTTAAGTGGAGCTAAAATAAATTTTAAAATTCTTTTTCAAATAAGTCAAGAAGGGGCTGGGGATTTAGCACAGCAGTGTAAGCGCTCTTGTGGCAAGCACGAGGTTGTGAGTTCGATCCCTGGTACAAAAACAAAATTAAAAAAAAAAAAACACATCAAATAAGTTAAGAAAATTTTCCAGAAATGTAAGTGGATCGACATGTCCTGAAAAGGAATTATCAATGAGACAAATTTCAGCAAGCTGATTAAAGATTAAAAAAAAAATCCTCATGCCCTTTGAGGTAAAATGAAAACTAGTTATACATAAAAAGCTTGTCAATACAATAAAAGCTAAAGGCAAATGTTTAAAAACTAGACTTTTTAAACCTAGGTCATGTTGCAATTTAAGTTCACAAAATCATAGAAGTTTCCTTTTCACAAATCAAAATTAATTATAACTCTTGCTGTTCTTCTGGGACTTCAGCCAAGAACCTTTTTTATAGTTACTTACAAGGAAACTCTGAAAAGCCAGCTCAAGTAGAATCATCACATGATTAAATTTACTTCTGGAGAGTCAAATGACCCAGAATACAAATTTTTAAATGGAAAAAATGCAAGAATTTAAGGGTATATTAATAAATGTCTGTAAGTTAAAGAAGATGAAAAATTTTCTTTTAAATATTTAATATTCATTCATTTACAGAATTATCGAAATTTCAAATTGCATAGCAGCTAAAACTTTAAACAGACTATTAATTATGAGTTTCATAAGTATGATTCAGTTGCCAATGACAGTCATCAAAAAGGTCATAATACTAGTGTTAAAAGTTACATTTACAGCTAATAAAATTTTTATCTATTTTCAGTAGTCTTTTCAAGTCTGGTCCTATTTTTTCTATGTTGTGGGTTTGTATCGCTTTTGATTATTTTTGTTTTATTTGGTGGTATAGAACTGAACCCAAGGCCTTGGGTATGCTAGGTAACCACTCTACCACTGAGCTACATATTGGCCTTTTTGTAAATTTTACTTTGTAATGGGGTCACACTAAATCGCCCAAGGTGGTTTCATCCAGATAGCTGGTATTAGGTATGTGCCACCATGCCCTGAAGTTTGACTAGTTTTTGAATAATGATTTGGATGGCAAGCTGTTGGAAATAATAACTAGAGAGTTAGGCAGTATGTCATAGTTGTTTTAAGAAAGATTTCTAAGATAGGCAGTAATGGTGGCAGAAAAGCTTTTATGCATTTGACTCTGGAAACAAAATGTGGAAGAAAAAACTAAAGCTTTTCTGCAATCCAGTTTTTAGCCTTCAGCTTCAGTAGCAGTTGAATACTTAGATCTAAAATGTTAAAAACACACTGGAGAGAAAGCTGTTGTCCTAACAACTGAAGATATTTAAATATTACTTTGGCTTTCTATATTCATTATCTTTGAAACAGGGTCTTGTGATGCAGCCCGGGCTGGCTTTAAACTCACGGCAATCCTCCTACCTCAACCTCCCAAATGCTAGGATTATTGGCTTGTGCCACTGCTTCCAGCTGGCTTTATTTATTATTTATTTAGTCTTTCTGAAACAAGCCTTAGGCTGGCCTTGAGCACGCTTGCAACAATCCTCCTGCCTCAACCTCCTGAGTGCTGTGATTACAGGCTTGTGCCACTACGCCCAGCAGGCTAACTTTATTTTTAGCTAGACTGTGTTATGTTATGTTGTGTTATGTTATCTTACTGGTACTGTGAATCCAATTTGCAACTTTGCACTTGCCAGGCAGGTGCTCATGCCACTGGCTAAATCCTCAGCCCAAGCTTTATTTTAAAAATGAAGTTTGAGAAGCAAGGTCAAGGTAGAATAGTAATGAAGGATTATCTATAAGTGACACAAACTTTCACTTGTTCAGTTCACATTCTAGAAGCAATTCTATTTTGGAAACATATCTACATATCAGCAAAGCTAATCTAAGGTTTATAACTTTTATAAGCAAGTCAAACAATATTTTCCAATATTGATTTTTAAAAATTATTATTATTTTTCTCTTTTGGTTTGAGATAGGGGTCTCACCATGTTGTTCAGCCTGGCCTTGAACTCAATGCACATCCCAAATTGGCCTTGAACTTGAAACAAACCTGTCTCACCCTCTCAAGCACTGACAAGTGTGTACCACCACACCTGGTTCTTTCCAATACTGAATTTTAAAAGTAATTTCTGGATGTATCAGCAAATCACAAGTTTTACTATAAAAACGTGCCCGAATTTATGATAAAAGTACAGAATAACTCAACAGTAGAGCAGGAACTTACAATATTTAAGGCTCTGGGGTTGGATTCCCAGCAACACTGCAACAGTAACACAAAATGATAGGCAGACAGTAAGGAGAAATACTTCTCTAGATAAGATGGCTAAAATTCAGCTATCATGTTTGAGTTAACTCACCTTTGTTTTTTTGAACTGGAAATCTTTAAACTCTTCAACAACTACAAATAAATTATCAACTGATCTCAGACAATGAACCTGTAAAAAAGAAAAATGCTAGAAACAGGTTTCTGAAAAAGCCTCTGTATAACAGAAGCTATCTATGATTAAACGTACATACAATAGTTTAAAAGTATCTAATGTCTATATTGTACTTTTAAAGTACCTATCTCCTTTTCTCCATCTTTTTTGGTTACCCATCAGGTGCTTTTCTTTAAAGACAATGATGAGGATATACTAAGGGACAGAAGCCTGAAATGTTGTATGCACAACTCAAGTTTGAGGAAGGAAAAATGAGAGCAATCAAGTGGGCCTTTACTGTACTTTTCTCATGGCTCCGTATGGTACACTGTGTATCACTAAGAGCTAAGAGGAATAGTGGCTAAAAGCACAAGGTTAAGCTTCCTGGTTGTGATTATTAACTAAGTGACTGCAGACAAATCACTTATTCTTTCTGAAGTTAATGATTAACGAGAGTAACAACAGTGTCTAGATTCATGAAGCTGCACAAGGTACTAACTAAAATGCTAGATGTGAAATAACTGTTTACCAGTTCATCACACAAATATTTCCTGGATGTCAAAAATGAAAAGCTTTGAATGTACCGAAGAAAAAAACCAACCACAAGCTGGGTGTGGTGGTGCACACCTGTAATCCCAGCACTCCAGAAACTGAGTCGGAGGATTGCTACTAATTTGAGGCTCAAAAAACAGAAATATGAAGCCTAAGATACATATTGAATTCAAGACCAGCCTAGAATGTATAGTGAGGCCCTGTCTCAAAAAAAAATACAACAGAAAAAACCCAGACACAGTTGGTGTCCATGTTTTTCTTGTGTGGTAATCAGATGTACCTTAGCTTTTGTTGTAGTGGGATGGCAGTTTGCTAACCTTCATTTCTCACTTGCAGTAATTCCTAATTACTTCTGAGCAAGAATGTCTAACACAAATTAGAAGAAAAACCTATGCTTTTGTACTTTACCAAAATATAAACTTTAACTAGAGGCTAAAGTAAGTAAAAAGAAGCATAACAGACACTCAGAATTTCTTTGCAAGTCACACAGGACTCTGGTGAATTCACCAGGAAATGCTGCAATTATTAAATGAGCAGACTAAAGTAAACATATTTATAAAAACACCTAGAGAACATATCCTCCTAAAAATACAACTAAGCTTCCAAATCAACATCCAGCAGAAAATGCAACAATACTTTGAAATCATGTGACAAAGATTCCAGAGGTGTCTATAAACTAGAATAATATACTTAGAGAACTATTTTAAATAGTGCTTCATTCACACCTGCGCCAGACTTTCCACTGAAATGTCAAAATATATTTTGCCCCGATCTTTGCTAATTTTGCATGATGACCCCAATTTCTCTTTGATTTCATCTGCAGCTGTTTGCTCAAAGCCAGTGGGGACAGTGGCTCCAATAGTGACGTGGAGATGCTCAAATTCATCTTTGGTGTCACTTTCTTCTGTTTTTGGTACAAACCTCTGGTTCTCATGAAGGTTAACATCCAGGAGTTGGTTAGTAGCTTCTTGAATGTCAGACATTTTGGCAATGTTTCCAAGACTCCTAAAAAAGTTCCTTTATGAAAAAGAAATAAAGTCCAGACATTTTCACCTCAATTATACTGAAAAACATGCGTTTTGGACAAGGCAACACAACCAATATAACCACATTTAAGTGACAGCAGCAGTTTCAAGCCAATCATTAAAACTTGCTAATAAGGCATCTTCTAGCTGGGTGTGGTGGCACCTGTAATCCAGCACTATGGGAGGCTGAGGCTGGCCTCCCATAAATTCAAGTCCAACCTGGGCAATTTAGTCACTTTGGGAAACCTTGTCTCTCAAAAATAAGTGTAGATAGCTCCTGGCAAAGGACCTGGATTCAACTCCCAGTTAAAAAAAATAAAATCCGCTGGGGGTTTAGCTCAGTGGCATAAGCGCCTGCTTGGCAAGTGTGAGATCATGAGTTCAATCCCCAGTATCAAAAATAAATAAATAAAATCCATCTTTCTTCTTTTTGCTTGAATTTTAAAAAGGTTAATTTAACATTATCTAGTAACTACAAATATGTGCAAGTCTACCACATGCCTGATTCTGGGACCTACGAACTGGCATCAAGAGATCTCTCTGAAATCCCTGTAAAAGGAAAACAACCTTCCTGGGGGTGGGGTGCGGGGAGTGAATAGCTAAGCAGTGGCTACACCACCTTTGTGCTGTGCCAAGGACTGACGACAGCCTTTCACATTACTAAGTAAACTACAGTCCTTAACCCGCTATCACCGCGAAGATAATTTCCGCCGTACAGGAGGTGGAAGGCCGTGTCCCGCCCAAGGTCACTGGGCCCCCCAGCGGCGCAGACCGGAACAGAACTCACGTGTCCTCGCGTCAGCGGTCACGAGAATCTAGGGAAGCGGGGAAGGCCAGGGAAAGCCAACGCGACGGCTCCGCGGTGGAGCCGCACTGAAGCTCGAGCCGGCGCAGGGCGAGGCAGGCCGTTCCTCCCTCCCAGCCACACTAGGACACTCCCGCCAGCGGCCGGGTTAGGGCCGGCACCACAGACCCTCACGGCTCCAGAACACTGCTGTGCCAGAGTTCTCAGACCACGCCGCCGGAAGCCGCTTGTCCCTACCGGAAGCGGAAGTAAGACCGCGGGGTCACGGCAGCTAAGGGCTGGAGGCCGCGCAGAGATGAGGTCGTAGGAAGAGCATGCGCAGAAGGCCGGGAACTGCAGGGCGTGGCGGGGTGGTGTACGCGCTAAGTCGGTACGGCTGCCCTGTCGCCTGTATTAGTAATAATAACGTTTGTGCAGTGCTTAGTGGCACCCGGCTTTGAGCAAGAATTTCATGTTCGCCATCTCACTTACTACAGTTATAAAAACTTTTCAAAGCTAAAGAAGCTGAATCTTAACGAGATTAAATAACACTTTTTCATTTTGTTTTGAGACAGGGTCTTGCTATGTAGTTCAGGTTGGTCTTGAACTCACAGCTGTCCCCCTGCCTCTGCCTTCTGTGGATTAACAGGCATGCGCCACCATGCCTGGCCTAAATAACACTTTCTCATGCAAAATTTTGTGCAGAATTTTATGCAAAATTTTACAGATAGAGCTGGGGTTTAAACCTAATTCCGCAATTGTTGCTTTTAGTTCTGTAGTAAGTGTTGCTCAAACTAGTTTCTGATCTGTATATTGCCTTCGCCATTTTTGTACTATTGTTTGTACTTTTGTACTATTGTTTACTATTTTTTAGTATAGTTTTAAAAGAAGTTAGCCCTAAAGGAAAGTTTTGTAACTCAATAACAACAAAACCGTCCAATTGTAAAAAGGACAAAGGACAAATTTTTCTCCAAAAATACACAGTGGCCAAGAAGATATTAAAAGATAATGAACAGCATGAGGCAGTAGTGAAATGCAAATGAACATAATACAAATGACTAGTGAGACTAGGTCTTGTGTAGTTCAGGCCATCTTTTTTTTTTTTTTTTTTTTTTTTTGGTACGGGGATTGAACTCACGACTGTGCACTTGCAAGGCAGGTGCTTATGCCACTAAGCTAAATCCCCAGCCCCTTAGGCCATCTTTGAACTGGGTAGCTGGCCAAGACTCTGGACAGCTGGGATCACAGCCCCCACCCCCATGGCTAAAATTAGCAAGAATTGGTCCTTTCAATGGGGAATGCAACAGTCTGTGACCATTAACTTGGTGGCCACCGTGCTCTCATCCTTCCAGTGAAAACCCACTCTCACTCTGCAGAGCATACTATTTCTAACTTTAATAAATGTGAAACCTTGGTACCTTTTGCTCCTGTCTTGTCCAAGTCTTTGTTCAGAACAAGAACCTAGGGGCTAGGGATTTAGCTCAGTGGCATAAGCACCTGCCTTGCAAGCAGGCGGTCCTGAGTTCAATCCCTGGTACTGATAAAAATGAAAAAGACAAAAAAAAAAAAAACAAAAAACAAAAACCAAGAACCTGGAAAGTATCGAAATGGAACCTACTACAAACGAAACCCTCATATGCAATAGTTATGCTGTAACATATATATGTACCTAAAAGACTGGAAACGTTCCAGCAAAGACTCAGATACAGCCAAAAGGTAGCAACAACCCACATGTCCAGGAGTTGATGAGTAGACAGATGCAGTGCTATATCAATACAATGTAATGTTAACCCTAGAAAAGAATTGAAATTTGGTTGCATATTAGATGAACCTCGGAATGTGTTCGGTGAAAGAAGCCAAGTACAAAGACCACAAATGTGATTCCATTTATGTACGAGACAGTACATTAGTTATTGCTTAGAGTTGGGGCAGTTGGGGTGTGATAGCTAAAGGGTATGTATGGGGTTCTTTTGGGGGATGATGAGAGTGTTCCGAAATAGTAGTGATGGGTACATACGATTATACTAAATGGTGAATAGTACACTAACATACTTTTAAGTGTTGAATTTTATCTTAATAAAAGAAAGAGGAAACTTTGGTCTTATGGAGAACTCATCTGCAGTTTCAACTACAAACTGATACTTCCTGTCTAGAATTACTGGGAGATTTAAATAGGTCTAACACATTATCAGGCACATAATTAAAACAGAGATACCCTTCAGAATATGTACAATGAACCTGTATGTGTAAGTGAACCTGATGGTGCACACCTGTAATCTCAGCACTCAGAAGTCTGAGGTGGGAAGATCGATGTGAGTTCGAAGCCAGTCTGGGCTACTTAGTGAGTTGGAGACCCTGTCTCAAAAAACAAAAGCAAAAAGAATAAATACGGCCAGAGATATAGCTCAGTGGCATACTCCTGCCTGAGTGCAATTTCCAGTAACCAATAAATAAATGAATAAATTCATTGAATGAAAAAAGAACAAATCCAATGAGCCAGGCGTTGTGGCACATGTCTGTAATCTCTGCACTCGGGGGTGAAGCAGGAACATAGCTGCAAGTCTGAGGCCAGCCTGGGTTACAGAGTGTTCAGGCCATTCCTGACCTGTGTCGCCAGACCCCTCGGGAAAAATTACAATGAAAAGAAAAATGTTAAATTCTGGTCAGATACTGGTTGGTACAAAAGGCTCTTAGTGGACTGTAAAAATAAAGGCCATTGTCTAGTTTTTAATGATGAACTAGCAAATAATAGAGACAAACTAGCACTAACTGAGACCTTGAGATAGAAGGATTGAAACTTTGCAAAGAAAGCACTCTCTTGATCTAATTCAGTGTTATTTAATGTATATCTTTATACTGCCTGAAATCATGCCCTATACACAGGTGTCACATTTGGGGAAATATTGATGTAAGATGAGTCATCCACCAGTACTATTACGTTAGGTCTTCCATTTAAGCAACAGAAGTTACTGGGCATCTGTTATTTGTTTTTTTTCAAATCCATTTTATTTCAAAGACAAAAAAACAAAAAAAAAGTGAGAAAAAAAAGAAATTTCCTTTTTATCGGTACCAGGGATGGAACTCATGACTGCCTGCTTGCAAGGCAGGCGCTTATGCCGCTGAGCTAAATCCCCAGCCCTGAAAAAAAAGAAATTTCAAAACACATCAATCAGGGGCATCAATGGTACATACATTGTGTATTATCATCTCCAAATCATTCACACAAAGCATAACACATCTGCATTCAGTTGTCTGAACAATACCAGCACAAATCTTTCTCTTCAATTAACTCAGAGGAATCAGTACTATAATTATCCTTGCTATCTTTTAAATACACATACATATTCATATACGTATATGTATATGAATATGTATGTGTATATGTATATGTATACATATATGTATACGTATATGTATACATATGTTGTTAAGCTTCTCACAGTAGTGAGTCAATATGATGTTTACACATGTGTGTCTTATTTATTTCACTTATGTATGGTCTCAGGTTGCTTTCGTTTACCTATAAAAGTTTCCTGTTTATCCTTATGACTGAGTAATACTCTGTTGTATAAAAATACCACCTTTTTTTATTCATCCTTCAGTTGATGAGCATTGAGGTTGTTTCCAAGAGCTAGCTACTACAAACTGTGCTGCTGTAAACGTAGCTGCACATATATCGCTGTGGTGTGAATTAAAAAATTCTTTTGATAAGATACCCAGAAAGCGAATAGGTGGGTTGAATGGGACTTTTAGTCTTGTTTTTCTGAGGAATCTCCACACTGATTTCCAGTAGTGGTTGTACCAGTCTACACTCCCACCAACAGTAGAGAAGGGTTCTATTTTCCCCACAGCCCCTCCAGCTTTTGTTATTGGTTGATTTTTTGGGGGGGGGTGCTGGGGATCAAACTCACAACCTCGCATATGCCAGGCAGGCGCTTATGATGCTGAGCTAAATCCCCAGCATGACTTCTTGATAATAGCCATTCTTAGCAGCTGGACATGGTGACAGGCCTGTAATCCCAGCACTTGGGAGGCTGAAGTAGGAGGATTGTTGCCAGTTCAAGACCACCCTGGGCTACAAAGTGAGCTCAGGCCAACCTGAACTGCATAGTGAAACCTTGTCTCAAAAAGACCAAAAAATAGGGGCTGGGGATTTAGCTCAGCAGCATAAGCACCTGCCTTGCAAGCGGGTGGTCATGAGTTTGATCCCCGGTACCAATAAAAAGAAAAAAAAATGTGCAGAAAGACCAAAAAATAAATAAATAGATAAAAGATAATAGCCATTTTTTTCCAGGGTGAGGTGGAATCTCAGTGTTTTAATTTGCATCTTTTGAGTGATCAATGATGTTGAACATTTTTTCACATATTTATTTGCTGATTATATTTCTTCATCTGAGAAGTGTGTAGTCATCTCAGATGGGCATCTCTTATTAACAGGCCTTCCTTTAGACTCTGGGAATGCAGCATTGAACACAAAAGTCCTTAAGTGTTTGGCTTCTCCTTTTAGGCTCTAGAGTTTTTATTCTAATAGAAAAGTCAGATAGTGCCGGAAATATGTATATAACATTCCTGAGATAATCATTATGGAAGGAAACTAAGCAAGGTGGGGGTGAAAGTACATAGAAAATTCTAGAGATGGAGCACAATATGAGTTTTATGTCAAGAACCAGGAAAAGCCTCCTTGATAAGGTAACAAAGCAGAGTAACGAGAGAGCCAGCCATGCCTGGGAGAAGAGCCTTCGAGGCCAAGAGCAGCAGGTTTCAGCAGGGCTTGGCAGTAGCCGAGGGGCTGGTGAGACAGGTGAGGACTGAAGGGGGAGACAGAGGTGCAAGATGCAATGAATTGAGTGCATTAAACCAAAGTTTGGAAAATTATTGTCAAACTTTACAATGAAAAAGTACTACTCTGAGCCAAGCATGGTGTGTGTTGTAGTCAGAGTTTGCAAGGGAATAGATTTAGTACACGACACATGATTTATAGGATTTTATAACATTCACCCAAAAAGTGAAATGCAGAAGAGTGCCCGAGTTCTGTCTACTCACTAAAGACCCGAGAATCCAGATGAGAGCCTCAATCCCACGACAATGTCCTGCACGAGTTCTCCTGAAACTTAGGAGCAGCCGTTCTGGTGAACCTTGGTGTCTGATTTAGCTCAGCGGCACAAGTGCCCACCTGGCAAGTCTGAAGTTGTGAGGTTGATCACCAGTACAAAAACATCTCTCTTCCTCCCAGAATCACATTTTGCGGGTTCTGGAAATTGATTTAATTTGAGGGCTTACATTTGCATTGTCCACTGAGCTTCTCCCAGCCCAGCCACAGTTAAAGTAAAATAAAATTGTGGTTAGAAAGTCACATAGATCAGCCACTCCTCTGTCCATCCCTTCCCATTCCTCTTTTACAGAGATGAAGAAAAGTCATGTTTTGTGCTTTTAGTTCATTTGGTAATTACCTCCATGTCTCCATGTTACATGCATTTGTTGATTTTTTTCATTTTAGGTATTTTTTTCTAAGGATAATATGGTACATCAATATCTTAAATATCTTATGGTACTTCAAATTTAATTTACTAACTTTACACCATTTTATTTCCTCCTCCCTTCTTCTGCCATTGTGGTTAAAACTCAATGCAGTATGTTCCTCTATGTAAAATCTATATTTGTAAATTTAAGTAACTGTTAAACATCTTGTTCTGTCAAACTCCAGACAGTGTTCTTGATCCCCCGCACTGTAAGTTCAGGGCTTTATTTCAGTGATTCTGGCCTGTTCTCTACAATTCCTTCCTTCTCTGTATCCTTATTAAAAGAGGGTCCTGTGGCTGGGGATTTAGCTCAGAGGCATAAGTGGCTGCCTTGCAAGTGTGCAGTCATGAGTTCAATCCCCGGTACCAAAAAAAAAAGCGGGTCTCACCTGTCCACCTGGATTCCCATGAGTGTCTATGTAATTGAAAGAAGGGCTGTCCCTACCCCTGCCTCTCTTCAGGTACAGATGGAATCTCCCCCAAGGAAGCCTTTTGGAACCTCACTCAGAACTGAGATTTGTCTACAATCCTGTGAAGGAAACGATAACCTAAGTGTCCCTGAATGCTAAACCCAAAGTACCTTTGCCCTTTAACTAGAGGGGAAAACAGTCAACCTTTCCCTAAAACAAGCACTGGTTGTTTACTCTTCCCATGCCCTTTCAGACGAAAGGCTGTAAAACTGCTTTGGTAATATAAAACTACTAGAATGTTTGACAGAATTAGTGTCAATGCAGTGAATTTTCAGGATCATGTAGGTGAAATTTATTAGTTCTCCTTGAATTTCATGTTGATAAGTAAGCTGCTCATTCATCTGGAGAGGAACTGTGTGTATCTGCTGTCTGAGGAGCCACTGCAGGAGGTAAGGAACTGGGTAGAGAAACACCCCTGCCCCCTAGTGGGGACTCGGGTTGGAACATCGCACTCAAAGGGGAGAAGACATGAAAGGCATTGGATTGGTACAAAGCACCTCTAGCAGACGTCCTGTACCTGGAGACTTCCCTTCCTGCCTCCTGTGGGAGAATCAGAAGAACTAAAAGAACAGTGGCCAGGGAGATGCTGTAGGTGACATCACCAAGCCTCCACATGAGATGGCGGCTGCAAAGAAAGTGCTACAGATGAGTAAAGTGACGGCCAGCAGTGGGGCTGCAGCAAAGACCCAGGGACAAGGCCAGGAGGTTCAATAATGACAAAGTCACGATGGCTCGGGGTCACTGCACAGCTGCTGGCTGGGAGACTGGTATGGGGCTCGGTGCAGTTTGACCCAGGGTAAATTAACCAGGACACTCAGAACGGCAACTTAGAAGTGATAATACTTACAGAGCACACACAGTTGTGCATAGGCATAGGATGGGGCTCATTCCAGGGCACCTGTGGGTACTGCAGCTTAAATGTGCTCAAATCTCTTATATAAGATGGAACAGTATTTGCAGATGACCTATGCACATCCTCCTAAGTATTTTAAATCATCTCTAGATCACTTACTCTGTAAGTAGTTGGTTTACTGTATTGTTTAAGGAATAAAAACAAGAATAAAAATCTTATAGTATGTGCTTAGTACAAATAAAAATTTTACAGATATTTTCTGTGATTGGTTGATTTCATGGATGCAAAAGCCCCAGAGCACAGGATAGGTTGTCTCAGGTCCTGGTGGTGCTTGTATGTTATCTCATTCTTGGTCATTTAACCAGGTGATGAAGTAGAGCCTAAATATCCCAAAGTCACAGAGCTAATGGGACTTAGAACCAAGATTCCAACACAAAGCAAAGCACTGTGACCCCTGTAGCCATTCTCTCCAATACTATGTTTTCCTGTTTCCTTCGGGGAGGAAGGAGCAGGGGTTCAAGCACTCTAACCCTACTGAGATGTGTATGGAAAGATGGCTGTTTTTTTTTTTTTTTTGGTCTTTTTCCTTTTTATCGGTACCAAGGTTCGAACCCACGACTGCCTGCTTGCAAGGCAGGTGCTTATGCCGCTAAGCTAAACCCCCAGCCCCTGAAGGATGGCTGATAATCGGGACTCTAGCCCCAGATCTGCTACCTACATGAAGTAGGATATTTAGCCTCTCACGAGCTGGCTTCCTCAGTTATCCAATGGGGAAACGGTGGCTGTCTCATAAGTTGCCATGGAGATTCACTGAGATGATGTGAGCTTCTGCACGTGGTAAATGAGGTAGATGACTGACAGAGATGGTCTCTGGCTGTGGGAAGCCGCCTATGAATGGCGCCCATTTCCTGCTTCCGGGTTCTTCCCGGCCTGAACAAGCCCGCCAAATTGTCATATCTGCCCAGTTACCCATGACGCTAGCCTATCAGCTTGTTAGGCGCGCTTCTCTGTGATTGGATACTGCTTCCCCTTATAAGAGGTTGTTCCTGCCCCCAACGGCGGAAGAGGAACCAACGTTGAGGGTGGCGGACCTTGTCAGGTCCGGTTCGCTGTACATAATAAAGTTTGAGAGCTGATCCTGCTCGAGTTTGGTCTCCTGTCTCCCGCGGCTCCGGTCATCTGGTGGCCCCCGTACGGGGAAAAAGGTAAAAGACTCAGCGACGTGCCTCTTCGGCCGGGAGGTGCGATTGCTGTCGCCTGCGGTACGACGGAGGACCTGGCTCAATAACAACGGAAGGCCGCGAGCGCCTCTTCTCTTCACCCTGATCAGCTACGTGAGATACAGCGGTTCCCGGGACAGGTGAGTACTGGGTCACCTGGGTTGGGTGGACGCACCTAACAGATTTTGAGCGCCACACAAGTGGACGCCGGGTTTTTTTTTTCTTTTCTTTTCCCTTTGCATCTGTTTTGCTTTCGCTTCGCTAATACAGCCCGACAGGCTTTTGATAGAGCTCGATCGGAATGCTCAGAGGAGCCCGGAGCCACTGCCGATTGTGGGTCTCCGGAGGACCCTCAGGGCTCTAATTCTGATTCGGATTCGGAAGGCTCAGAAGAGGAGGTCGTCTTTGCTAAGCATGACCCTCCTACACCGTTAAAAGAGGAACTTAGGGCTCGGGAAGATAAAAAGGGGAACCAAACACCACCCTGCCCGAGCTACTCCGCCTTACGGGAGGAGCTTAAGCCCTTCCGCTCCTTGGCAAGTTTGCGACCCATGGTCGCTCCCTTCAGGGCGCCAGGCCCCACTGCACCGCCGTGGCCGGAAGAGGAGTTGCTCCCTGGGCTGCCACCACAACCTATGGCACCGCCCTGGTTAAAGGGAGAGCTACTTCCTGGGTTGCCTTCTGTGCCCCCATCTGGGGAGGGAGGAGGACGTTCCTTCCACCAGAGGGTATGGTCGCGGCTTCCCTTTGAGTGTTCCGGTCTCCATGCATTCCCGGTACAAGTAGGAGGCAGGGGAGGAGGAGGATATTATGAGCCCTTAGAAATTAAACAACTTAAAACTATCAAGGACGCAGTTTCAGCTTATGGGCCCAATGTGCCATTTACCATGGCGCTTTTAGAGGCATTGGCAGGTCTGCTTTTAACTCCTGGAGATTGGACCCAACTGGCACGCGCCTGCCTCTCCCCCGGACAATATTTAGATTGGAAGTCCTGGAATGAGGAATTCTGTGTAGAGCAGGCGGCAGCCAACAGGGAAAATAACCAGAGAGAGTGGAACAGGGATATGCTATTAGGGCGAGGAGCCTTTGAGGAAGATCAAACTCAATACCCTCGCCAGGTTTATGAACAAATTAGCCGCTGTGGCCTCCAGGCCTGGAGACGGCTGGCTGGAAAGGGAGAACATACGGGTCACCTTACAAAAATTATACAAGGGCAGGGAGAGCCATTTTCAGACTTTGTGGCCCGCATGCTTGAGGCCGCTAACAGGATTTTTCCAGATGCTGAGGCGGCTCACCCTCTCATAAAACAATTGATTTTTGAACAGTGCACTAAGGAGTGCCGTGATGTCCTAACAAAAATAGGTCCTTAGAAGAGTGGACACGCCTGTGCCGTGAATTGGGTGGCCACGGCCTAACGCCCAAAGGAAGAATATCATTGGCACTCTTTACCATAAATTTTTAAAATCTTAATCACAATAATCATTCCCCTGCCATGGAGCACAATAACCCGTCCCCGGCCGACAAAGGGCTGGTGAGATGGAAAGATGTCCTTACAGGACAATGGATGGGCCCGGATCCAGTGATTAGCTGGACCCGAGGTGCGGTTTGTGTCTTCCCACAGGAACCAGGCTGCGAACCGCTGTGGGTCCCGGAAAGATTGACGCGAGCAGTAAACTCCCCACCAGTTCCTGATAAAGCACAGGAGGATAAGCCCGCGGACACAAGTCAACTCGACCGACGCTCAGCGCCCGAAAATGTCTGGTTTGGAGCTTTTTCTATTCTGTGGGTTCCTATTAATCACCCCTGTGATATGCTCAGATTCCACAGAACCACCACAATATCTTTGGGGTCCTTGGCACCACCCGCCCACATTGGCACCTTTTTCGGCGGCCTCGCCCGCCTCACCCAGGGTTTACACCATCAATCAAACAGTCCTTGATTATGCTAATTGCCATGGCTATCCTAGTAGGGCTTGTGGTTATTAAATGCTTGTTAGATCGCCTCATACAAACTCAGCAGCAGGTTAAGATCACAGCTATGGCAGCCATGCAAATGGCAGCAGGTGGCCCATCAGGCCAGCAGGCCGCCGCATATCTCCTTCACATTGCAGAACATCAGCTATAAGAGCTGAGTGGGCAAGCCAATGACAGGTAAGACGGGAAAAGCCCTCCTGGTCAACCTAAGACAGGCTCCACTCAGATATACATGGCCTATAAGGCCAGGGGTCCCTCCCGGAGTCAAATTATTGGCATTGAGATGCGAGACCAAGGGTACTGCAGTGCCATCCACCCCAAAGGTTGGGGGGAAGGCAGGAATGAATGTCTATATGCATCCAGGTTCGGTTCACAAAAGCCTGGCCCTGCGAAAAAATGAACCACTCACCTTGAGCATGGTCCTGGCGCAAGGATATGCACAAAACAGGGTGATGCACAGCAGGGTATAGACCTCTACATTCTCTCATGCCTCGGCCTACAAGGTAGGCCCACTCCTAGGTGTCTAACAGCAACAAGGTCATAGACACCTTGGAGGGACCCACAGACCATCCTATTTTAATAAATAAAAAAGGGGGAGTTGTGGGAAGCCGCCTATGAATGGCGCCCATTTCCTGCTTCCGGGTTCTTCCCGGCCTGAACAAGCCCGCCAAATTGTCATATCTGCCCAGTTACCCGTGACGCTAGCCTATCAGCTTGTTAGGCGCGCTTCTCTGTGATTGGATACTGCTTCCCCTTATAAGAGGTTGTTCCTGCCCCCAACGGCGGAAGAGGAACCAACGTTGAGGGTGGCGGACCTTGTCAGGTCCGGTTCGCTGTACATAATAAAGTTTGAGAGCTGATCCTGCTCGAGTTTGGTCTCCTGTCTCCCGCGGCTCCGGTCATCTGGCTGTTCTTATCATTGTAAGTGCCTCTGATTCTCTCAATAAGAGGTAGAACCCGGGCTAGTTTTATAACTGGCTTTGGCCTGCAGGTCATGCCAGCTGTGTCACTGACCAGGTACAGCTCTGTGTCTGGAGAGGCCTGGCAGCCTCTATTTCTGTCCCCTTGGTCTGCTCTTGCCACTGTGTAGGGAAGCATGGCCCAGACTCTTGCAAATGAGAGCTCCTGTAGGGAACGGACATGGGGGGTCGTGTCCCCACTGATCCCACTGGAATTGTGTCCGTGCTTAAGCCGCCTACTCACGCACGGAATCAGAGTCACAGGAATGGACACCCCATGGCTGTTCAGCCCTGAGGCTGAGCAGTTCGTTCTGCAGCAGATCCTGACATTTTCAGTAAATGGTGTCTGCTTAGTATAACTGTGCTGGCAAGGGGTTCAGCCGCACAGCCGCCTCATCCTTGTGTCAGACTGCTGATTTTTTCCTCTTCACGAGAATAGCATGAGAGAGATGAGTTATATGAGCAAGTGAACACTGTGTCTTCCAAATACATCTTTTTGTTTCTTTTGAGACAGAATCTCACCATATCCAAGGCAGTCTTGAAATCAGTGTGGAGTCCAGGCTGTCCTCAAACTTGCAGTAATCCTCCTGCCTCATCCTCCCCAAGTGATGGGATTACAGGCATGTGCCACCATGCATGTCTCAAACACATTTTATGTCTTTATTAAAGCAGAGTATCACTGAGTGTTTTACTCACACTTTGCTGTCTTTTGAATTGTCATTTCCATTTGCTGTAATATGGAAGAAAGCACATTTCTTCAAACATATTTATGATTTGCATTTTTCAGTAAATAGCTGTGGTGGGCCCCTTCAAGCCTTTGTGTTGGAGATTTAAGGGAAGGACAGAGATTTACTCTTTTACTATAGCATCTCCAAGGCTCCAGGCTTCTTTAACCTTTATTTCTTTTGCATCCTCTTCTCTAATTTTTTTTTCTGCCCAGGCCACCTTTTCTCTTCTCCTGCCTGCCCAGCCTCTGTCCACCTCACCTGATGCAGGCACTCTCTGTATCTCCTAACTAAGCCCCTCGCCCCTCGCCCTTCCTATCTCCTTAGTGGTGTGAATAGGTCTTCCCTACAATAGTGTGCCGCAGAGAGTAAGTGATGCTCAGGAAATAGAACCTATGACCATTCGTGACTTTAGTAAATGAGCTTATTCACATTTACCGTTTAAAACGTTTGATTGCTTTTGGCCTTTCTCCCTCGTCTTTTCACGCTTGGTCCCTGTCCTTGCTTTCTTCCTCCATCCCGGTGGATGCTCTTTTTCTGTGGTGTGCTGGGGCCCTTGTAGAGACTGTTTCTCTGTGCTTCAGGGATGTGGTGAGAAAAAGTTCTGACGCTGTGTCTTGGATGGATGGAGTGTAATTATCTGATTCATTGCAATTTAGGATTGCACATACAGTTCTGCTGTTGAGAGGAGTCCAATTCTTTTGCTGCTGAGGATTTTAACTGGAGCCTATATTAGTGAAAACAGCAAGCTCATAAAGCCTAACGAGTGCCTGCCTGCACATGTCAGCGGGTGTGTGGGTGTTTCTGGTGCCTGCTGGTGAGTACTGAGCTGTGGGTGCTAGGAATGTGAACAGAATCTAGCAGAACTGATTTAGCCAATTTTCTCTTCTCCTTTTTCTACAGCAGAAAATGAGAATGCACTAACTCATGTTAGGCCATTTTATAGGTGGACAAGCTCTTTCTCAGGCTTGTAGAATTACAGAACCCGTATTGAAATGCGAGCTGGGCTGACTGAGATCAGGCTCCCATATCCTCCCATAAGCTGTTTGTCAAGGCAAACACCACCCATTTGAAAAGCATGATTTCCCAGGGATAGATGCAAAAATAAGAAGCTTTGAATCTATCCCTAGAACCACTTGTACAGATGTCTGCTTTTCCTTGCATAATCACTCGCGAGGAAGCCCTCCCTCCTCTTTCTTTCTAGTTTTTCATATTCAAATCAGGAGCACTGCACTGGGAATCTGCGGGCCAGTGGCCTAGCCCAGAAGGGCATTCATGCAAATCTCAACACACTCTGTTTATGTTAGATCATGTGCGTGCGCGGTTAGCTCAGACTGCTTATTCCTGCTGATGTTTGGCAGAGTCTTGAGTGTATTCTTCTGCCAGTGTTTTAAAAACTGGGAGTTGGAGTGGGCATGGTAGTATGTTTTTGTAATCTGAACAGTCTGGGAGACTGAGGCTAGAGGATCATGAGTTTGAGCCCATCCTGGGCAATTAAGCAATTTATCAAGACTGTATCTCAAAATAATAAAATAAAATGTTACAAGGGCTGAAGCTCTGCATTCAGTCCCCAGTGCCGCACACACAACTCAAAACTGAGAGCTGGGAGAGGCGAGCTGTGGTCTTCCTTTGCCCCCTCCCTCAGCATCGCTTCTCAGCTCTTTCCTTCATCCCAGCAGCTGAGCTGTATTTTAAAAAATTTTGTGGATTGAACTGAGTCTTCAATGATCTTAGATTTTTTTTCCCTTGAGGCAGGGTCTCATTATGCAGCTCAGGCTGGTCTTGAATTCACTACGGAGAACAGGCTGGGCTTGAACTGACAGTGATCCTCCTTCCTCAGCCTCTTGAGTGCTAGGATCACAGTTGTGTGCCACCATGCCCAGCAGAACCTGGTTTTTAGTAATTAGTGGTACTGCTTTTTTTGAGTCATTATTTTTTGGTGAATATAAAATTTTAATTTCTCTGAATAATTAATGAAGCTATTAAATACTTAGTCATGTGTCATAATGAAGGTTCTGGCCCTTGCATGGCATCGCTTTAAGAACAGAAGAAGCTAGGAATTTGGCACACACCTGTAACCCAGTGCTCTGGTCCACAGAGTGGGGGATCATAAGTTTGAGCCCAGCATAAATAACTTAAGAGTCTGTCTCAAAAAAAAAAAAAAAAAAAAAAAAAAAGATCCGGGGATGTAGCTCAGTGCAAAGGCCCTGGGTTCAACTGCAGATAACACACACGCACACTCATGCACATACACACACACAGCCTTCAGAGCCATCACTCTGATAATAGGGTTTTTGGCTTCCTGACTTGGTTAGCTAAGTTAATGGAGGTACAGTTGACCAGGGAAAAAGAATGTAGGAGGAAGACTGAATGCAGGAGGTGGCTTGAGGTCCTTGCAGAGCCCTTAGTAAACTGCGACCCAAGACTCTGAGCTCAGGAATCTGGTCTGTTGATGCGGAAAAGGGAACCTTCAGGGTAGTTATTATTTACTGTCGTCGAGCCTGGAGACTGGACGATGAGAGAGGAGCCGAGCAGGGAACTTGTAGTTAAGCAGGCGTTCAGGGGTGGCACCAAGGGAAGGTTGTCCTTGAGAAGAGGAGAGAGGAGTGGAAGCAAGTCCCACCCATAATCTGGTCGCAGCTGGCCAGCATGGGCAGTTGGACCAGTTCAGTCACCAGTTCAGCTGGCTTTCACTTGCGCTGATTGTGAAACCTGCAGGCATGCAGTGCAAGAGGCACACGGGGAGAGGAAAGTGAATGGGGCGATTCTGGAGTTGCTTTGCCTTGTCATGGAGCAGGACCGCGGGTCAGGCACTGGAGGAGCCCCTCTCAAGCTGCACCCTCAGTTCACTGCTTTGAGGGCTGGGGAAGCCTTTGCATGTCCCCAGTTCTGCTTACGGCAATTCTTGGCTGCCCCACAGGCACACGCTTCCTGTTTTCTTTCCTTACAGCCCCCTGTCTTCACCACCTCAGCCACCGCATACAGACAGTGGCCAGAGAGGTTCAGAGAAGAAAAGAAGTCAGGAGAGGGCACAAGGTCCAGGAAGGAACTGTCAACAATAGCAGAGGCTGGAGGTCAATAGGCCAAGTGCTGAGCATTTCTTGACCTTCAGCAAATCAGAGGCTGCTGGCAGTTACACGCACAGGCTCCTGCTGTGCTCACTCCTAGCCATTTTTATTCTCATGAAACTTAATCACAATATCCAGCTTTTTGACCTGACTTTTAATTTACACTGCAGCAAAAGCTACTCTTGCTGGCAAAGTGTTCAGAAATCCTGTGTTTAGATCTTCCACCAGCCGGGATCAGAAGAGTCCGGGAGAGTCTGTTCTGGGGGTGTTATGAAAACTTGGGGAGCAGAAGTATCTTCCTTTCTTACCACAGTGGAATCTAAATGTGACACTTACAGCTGTAATTCAACCCCTTATGAGCAGAGACTTAGCCTTTCTGCTAAGAGGCTTGCCGCATGGCCTCTCGGTAGAATAGGTGTTAGGAAATGTGAAGAGGGTGGAGGCTTCGCCCACATCCTCTGAGCCATGGCCCTGCTGGGTGCCGTTTTTGAGGCCTTTCCGTCTATCCTCCTAGGGGCTGGGCTGCACTCACTAATGTCCTTACCAGTGTGCTTTGGGCCACTCACTTGCAGACTGGCTGTTGCTTCCTGCGGAGGCTGTCTGCTCAGCTCCGTGTGCTGCCATCGAGGCAGCCGTGTGCTGACTCCTTCTCTCCCTGCAGCTCTCCCCAGAGCCCAATCTCTAGTGTCCTGGCGGACACTTTCCTTCCCATCAGTATTTTAGAAGAAGATTCCACAGTCGAGCTCTTGAGTCCTTGTGCAGTGCTCTGTAGCCCTTTCTTTCCCAGGGAAAAAGGGCACTGGAGTGTCAGGGTGACCTGTGTCGTAGTGGAATGGGGGTTCCCATAATGCTACTCTTTCCAGCCCACTGTTGTGACTACATCGTGTCCCTCTCCCTGCCAAACCCCCACACCCCATGCATATCTCATGTCAAACCCCTACACCCCAGGCAAATCCATTGGTGATGAGGTGTTTTGTTTTTTTGAGATGTATCTCGATATTAGTCCAGGCTGGCCTCAAATTTATGGCAATCCTCCTGTCTCAGCCTCTTGAGTGCTGGAATTGCGCTGGGGTCTGCAGGAGATAATTAAAGTAGATGAAGTATTAGGAGGAGGCCATTCTCGTGAGACTGGACTTTGTAAGGAGCGTGTTCTCTGTCTCTGTGTCATGCAGCTTGTCTTCTCAGGGGAAGAGGGCTCTAACCGGAATCCAGTCATGCCAGCACCCTGCTCTGGGACTTACAGCATCTGGAATTGTGAGCAAGTACATTTATTTCTATTACACACTGAAGCCATTTATTCTCTTTTTCAGGTTTTCTTTTTTATTAGCACATGTTTGCATTACGTTCCCTGTGGGGAGTTGGCACGTATGCATAAAACCCTGCGATTCTATTGTTTTACTCTCCCTCCATCTCTGGATCCTCTTCCCATTTGAAAAATATGTTTTCATGCTTCCTATTACCTTTCATTTTTCTCTTTAGTTATATTTTGGGTTTCCCGTATAAGAGCAAGTATGTGATATTTGAGTGTCTGATGTACTTCAGTTAGCTTCATTCAGGGTGCTTTCATTTTCCTGCAGACTCGTTTGCCCTTGTTTCTGGCAGAGCAGGACTCGGCTGTGTGTAAACACATTTCCTGTGTCCATTCTTCTGTCTGTGGATGTATAGCTTCCAAGATTTAGCTACTATGAATTGTGTTGCTATAAAAAGTTGTCACTGTATTAGGATATCTTTAACTCTTTTGCGAATATACTTAGAAGGGAAATAGCTGGGGCAAATGTAATTTCTAATTTTAGTGTTTTGAGAAATCCCCATCCTGCTTTTCACGGTGACTGTGCTGTTTTACATTTCCGCCGGTGAGGGAGGAACAAGCGGCCTGCTTCCCGAGCAGCCTCACCAGTGACCTTACTACGTGATTTCCCGACTGGGGCATTCTTTTTGGAGTAAGATGAAATCTCAGCATTGTTTTAATTTGAATATCTCTAATGTTGGACATTTTTTCCATGTATTTAAAAAATTTTTATTCATATTCATGTTATGTTTTCATTGAAGTTTAGAGTTTTTGTTTTGCTTTGCTTTTTTTTTTTTCTGGTGAGCCCAGAAGGCTAGAGCTCCTCCACTGAGCCATACCCCAAGCCCTTTTTTCTCATGTATTAATTGGCCGTTTGTACTTCTTCTGTGACATGCTTATTCATTTCAGTTGCTTTTTTTTAAAAAAAATAGATTATTATTATTATTATCTTTTGGTGGTCCTGGAGATTGAACTCGGGGCCTTGCGCATGCTAGGCAAGAGCTATACCACTAAGCTATATCCCCAGCTTTTGTTTTGCTTTTGAAACGAGGTCTTTCCATGTGATTCCAACTGGGCTTAAGCTCACCAAGTGGCCCAGCTGGCCTCAAGTGTGCAGCGATCCGTGCCTAGTCTCCTGAGTACTGAGGTGGCAGTCGTGTGCCCGTGCCTCAGTTGCCCATTTTTTATTTAGCATTTTTATTGAGGAGGGGCTCTAATTTTTTGAACTATTTATATATTCTAGATATTAACCCTTCTTCTGATGAACAGCAGGTTGTTTCCTTTGGCTGTTTCTTTTGCTGTGCATAAGCCCTTCAATTTGATACGATCCCATTTGTTGATTCTTGGTGTGGCTTCTTGTACCACTGGGGTTCTGTTCAGAAAGTTCTTGTCTACACTGAGATCTTCAAGAGTATTACCTATTCTGTTTTCCAACAGATTGTTTCTGTTTTAACATTTATTTTAACATTGATCCATTTTGATTTTAGTTTAGTACATGGTGAGAGATATGAGTTTAGATTCAATCTTCTGCGTGTGGGCAACCAAGTTTTTCCAGCATCGTTTAAGAGGCCATCTTCCCTCCAGTGTGTGTTTTTGGGCCATTTGTCAAAGATCGTGTAGCTGAGTGTTTAAGCCATTTATTCTGCGGCATCGTGTTTGTGGCAGCTCAGGCTAAATAAGTCACACTGCAGACCGCTTCATTCATGGGGTTTCCTCAGAGGCCGCATGATCTCCTCTGGCAGTGAACCCCACGCCTCCCAGTCATATGTCTCAACTGTGGCCTGAATTCAACATCTTTCCCGCAGGCCTCTTGTGACCATGCACATCAAAGAATGGGGCTAGATACCAACAGCCCCATTATTGGGGATTTATTATCCCCAACAGCTGTAGGACTTCTCAGGGTATCTGATGGACTTCTGGGATGCCTCAGATCTGCTGGGGTCATGTCCGACTTTTGGATGCTTAGTTATTTGTATATGTGTATTTGTATATGTATTTGTATATGTGTATTTGTATATGTATTTATAACAAGCAACATTTTCAAAGCAGGACGAGGAGTAGTGATTTCTTGCACAGAATTATAATTACTGGGTATTATAAAGCAAGATGTTATGAAGCAGCTCCATTCTTGTCTGTTAGGCCAACTTCAAAGCAATACAAATATCCCTATCTTTTTACATCTGTCCTGGTTTTATTATTGGTTTTCCATCTGCCTTGCTTTAAAGCAGGAAGGAGAAGCGAGGACAGGGAAGTCATGAGCTCTGTGGAGGAAAAGTGCCAGATAGGAAATCTGTAAACAGAAGAGGTCGCCTGGGAAAAATGAGTCAGAGATGAGGGATCACGGGAGCAGCCAGTGTCGCTGTGAAAATACCACCCTGCCGTGCAGCCTGACTGCTCCTGTTGTGTCTGTGAGTCCTCTTTAAATTGTGTCCGCCTAGTTTGGTTCCTGAGCTGCCTCCACCTCTCTGCTGGCTGCCAAGGACCTTCTCATTGTCTCCTCCTGTCTGGCTGATAGAGCCATTTGTGTCATGCAAACTGATGGCCTGTGGTGAAGTTTTGGCCTCTGATAATAATGCCTGTGTCACTCTAGGTTCTTGTTTTCATGGAGCTTGAAGTGATGGAGCCCAAGCTGGAGTGGATAAGGATTTCACCCAAGGCCTCACTCATGGTCCCTTGTGCTGGCTCAGAGGTGCAGAGATAGGAGCTTTTTGTGTGCCCTGCCTTCTCAGGTTAGTTTGCAAACTGAATTCCTCGTGTCATGGGGGTTTTATTTGGCTCAACTGGGTTGGCAGTTCATTGCCAACATTTAAAGATAGGGATTTCTCCTGCTTCTCTTTATTTTATTATTATTATTATTATTATTATTATTGGTCTTTTTCGTTTTTATCGGTACCAGGGATCTGCTTCTCTTTAAATCCTGGAAGAATCCTGAATCTCCATCCTTGCTAGATTAACTAGTCACTGCAGTGAAGGTCTGGGCTCTGCAGATCAGACTGCCACAGACCCCACTGATGTGCATGTCTGTATTGACCACCATCGTAGGCACTTGAATTTGTGTCGTGCAATTTATAGGAAAGAAAGGAAATGCCATTTGTGCATGAAGCACTGTACCTTGGGATTTGCATGTATTATTTCCTTTGATTTTTTTTCTTTTATGAACTCAGTAACATTTAATTTTCACCACTACAGGAATCATGTCTGGATCTTTGGCCATCATGAGAGGACATAGTCACAGATATACCGGAGGATCTCAGAAAAATCTGTTGAATGAATGCATGCATAAATAAGTGAATAACTTTTTTTTTTTAAAAAAAAGACTTCGTTATGTAGTTCAGGCTGGACTTGAGCTTACTATGTAGCGCAGGCTCACCTCACGCTGGAAGCAATCCTCTTTCCTCTGCCTGCTGAGTGCTGGGGTTACAGGCATGTGCCACCACATCCAGCGAATAACATTTTTATTTGAGTTATTTATTTACTTATTTTTTGGTAGCGGGAATTGAACTCAGGACCTTATACTTGCCAGGCAGATGTTTGTGATGCTGAACTAGATCCCCTGTCCAGCAAATAACATTTTTGTCCTATTTATCTAGTTAAGAAAACTGAGGGTCAATGCAGTTAAGTGATTTGTTCAAAAGGTTGACTTACAGACAAGATTCAAACTGATACTGTGTGACTTCGGAGATCCAGTGTGGAGAAAGGAAAAAACCAGGGACCACTTGAGGGCCATAAACACAAGGGCACTTGATCAGTACTTGCTGCATTGACTGACAATAATACTGAACATATCTTCTTCACTACACAAAGTGCCAGCTTGGTTTTTAGCTTTGCCTAAAAGCAGAGATTACCATCAGCATGCAACAAACAGAAAACAATGTTTCTGACTTGTACTAAGTAAATGTGGTGTGATTTCAAAATTAAGCCTTGCACATGTGAAGAATGCCTCTCAAGGCTTGTATTCTTAAGCTTCTTGTTCCCTGTGCTTGGCTAGCAGCACAGAGCAGCGTTCTGTTCAGGGATGGCTACTTAGTGCGCTTCCTGAGGCTGCCTCAGGAAGTGTGCCCTAAACATCAAGCCCTTTGAAGGGTGGTGCTTGGTCTCTCCAAGAAAAGGAGAACAGGGGAGACTCTATGCCGATCCCCAAACTGATTTATAATTCTGAAATCTTGCACGAATCTCAGAATTTAAAAAACCACTAGCCTTTTCCTGCAGATCTCTGTCCACTGTGATCCAGCGTATCATTTCGTAAGGGCTCTGGGGATCAAGCCAGGCCTCGTGCACGCTAAGCAATGTGCTCTACCACTGAGCGATGCCCTCAGCCTGACGCACAGTTACCTCTAAACCGGTCTTTCCTTCCATTTTGTCTTAGGAGTCGATAGTTATATTTTACTTACCAAATTCCAAACTGCAGACCTTCCTCCTAGTCTTTCTTATTTATAATCCATGTATGCAAAATCTCTTTCCTCCAAAGCAGCTCATCATCCTTTTCTCCCCTATACCCGCTCAGAGGCAAGCCTCTGTCTTTTCAAGCCTTAAATGCTAATGTGGCTTCCCAGCTGGGCTTGCTGCTTCTAGTTCTTTGTCCTTTAATATCACTGCATACTGCTGTCAAAATTTGCTTACTAAAATCGTGTTTTCATATCCTTTTCCTCCACACTTTCCTTTTTTCCTTTTCCCTTCTTCCTTCTGCTGGAGATTTGACCCCAGGGCTTTTGCACTGAGCTACAGCCCCACCCCTTTCTTAGTTTTAAACTTTGAGATACAGTCTCACAGGTTTCCAAGTTGCCAGCCTGGGCTGGAAATCGAGATCCTCCTGGCTCAGCCTCCCAGAGTGCTAGGATTACAGGCACGCACCATCACACCTGGCCCCTCATTCTGAACCCGTATTGTCTTCTCAGTAGTGTTTCCCAATGTGTGTTATGTGAAACTTTAGTTCCATAGAAAACTAGTAGGTGTTAAATTAAAAAAAAAAAAAAAAAAGCAGTTTCTGTGATGAAATAGGGGTTGGCAGACTACTTCTTTCCTGCTGGGTGATTCATAGCTTTGATTTGTGAACATGCCTTAGTATGCTGTGTTTCCCAAGACTGTTTCCAAAGAGCCTCTTTGGTGGGGTGTTTCACTGGCCTGGGTCCTTATGAACATAAACTGTAAACACTGATCCTCCCTGGGATGACTTAATGTTATGGGTCAACTTGACTGGACCTAAATATTTGGCAAAACATTACTTGGGGAACTTATGTGAGTGTTTTTAGATGACATTGACATTTAACTTAGTAGGCTGAGTGAAACACAAAGCTCCCTCTGATGTGGGTGAGCCTTGTGCAATCAGTTGAAGGTCTGAAAACAACAGAGAAGTCAAACAGGGAACTGTAGCCGGCTTTGAGCCAGGAGAGTGATTTCCCTTGTTTGCATCATCTTTCCTGGGTCTCCAGCTCTCTGACTCACTTGCTGATCTTGAGCCTCCATATTCATGAGAAAGTATTTGTGTGTCTGTGTGTGGTGCTGGGGCTGGAATCCGGGGCTTTGCATGTACTAGGTTAGCACTCTACCACTGAGCTACATCCTCAGCCCTATAAATGAAAAAAAAAATTACATATATCAATATTCTATATATTATTATGGTTGATACATTGTGTCAACTTGAGAAGTTTAGAAGTTTAACCCAGAGACTCAACAAGGAGCCAGGACCTTTACTTTGTAAATATCCTCATCCCCAGCAAGAGGAGGGCACAGGGATTTTTTGAGTACTATGCCCAACCCTGGAGTTGGGGGTGGCCTGTGTACAATGTAAGGGAGGAGAAGAGGCTTGTTTTTTATCTTTTGCTCTGGCTGCTGCCTTGAAGTGGTGCCCCAGGGCCACACCACTCTGCCTTGGAGCCAGCAGATTGTGGACTGAAACCTCCAAAAGCAGTGAGCTCAATAAACCTTTCCTTCCTTCATTTTGGGTGTTGGGTGTTTTGTCCCAGCAACTAGAGAAAAGTAACCAAAAAACATATCCACACACACACACACACACACACTCAATCAGTAAGATTACAGGTATAGTCACTTAGGGCTAGTGTGAATGGGATAAAACTATGGCCAGCCATTAAGATTACAACAAGTATCGTTGCTTGAGTAACACTGATTAAATGGGGATCAATTGGGGAAGCCAGTCACGTAGAGGTGCACATGGCAGAGACAAGGACTTTCCTGGAGGGGTGGGCTAAGGCGTTTTGGTCCTCCACCCCCACCTCCACCCCCAGGTTGGTGCCTGCTTAGAATATCAATCACTGCCATCATCCCTAGGGGAAGTATACGGGTGAGAAGCTCCTTTTCTGGAAGCCTGCCCTCAGTGAACTATCCCCACCACAGCTGTCTTCTGCACTGACCTCTTTGAGGGTCCATCCCTGCCTGACCACCTAAATATTTCTACCTAACTTAGCTATCTATAATATTCCCCCCTCTGAAGCAGCACCCTAACTGCTGTGAGGGGGTAGGGGTGATGACCATTCTGGTTTTTTCAGGTTGGAGGAGTTTGTAGTGTGACCAGTAGTCAAAGATACTCCGCAGAGAGTCCATCCAAAGGCCCTTGATAGGTGCGAGCCATTCTTGTCTTGTGTAGATATCCTGCTTTTAAATCTCTTATTATAAGTGGAAGGCAGATGTTTGAGTCTCTGTGCAGAGGTGTCCAGTGGAACACCTCCAAATAATATAGGGGAAAGAAACTCTCAGCCCGCTAGATGTCTGAAATGCCGAGAGCTCCAGTTCTCTAGAACTGAGGAGTGCATTCTAGGAACAACAGAGGTTAAGGGGAGAAAGAAAGCTTCTGTGTAAAAGGGACAGAAAGGGGATATTTGTTTTATTTTGAGATAGTGTCTTAGTCACAATTGCCCAGGCTGGATTTGAACCGGCAACCCTCCTGCTTCAGCATCCCAGAGCGCTGGTATTACCACCAGCACTAGCTCCTTTCCCTGTATATTCATATTTTACACGTCTCACGTCTCTTGGCTTCGTGTTCTCTCTTCTCTTCCCTCAACACATTGTTATATTAGGAAAAAGCTTCCCCAAGATAAGTCCTGCAAAGCTAATTTTCCCCAGCACGCTGTGCTCTGCAGGGTTGCTAACGGGCTGTGAGCTGGGGCGAGGGATGCAGCTCAGCAGGGGGAGGAGTGCCTGTCAGCGGTGGGCAGCTCTGAGTTGGAGGCCAGCATCCGGGAGGTAAGTAGAGGGTGCAATGTGCAGATGTCTGTGATTCAATCTAATTGCCCTTCGTCTTACTAGTAACCAACTGTCCACGCAGTGTTTTGTAACAAGGCATCAGATGTTTTTGCCTATCAGAGAGAAGAGAGACCGAGAGAGAAGGAGAAGGCGGGCGGAGGGAAGAGAGGAAGGAGGATGGAGGGGACAGAAGGCCATAGACATTGCTGGGTAATTGCTGACCCCTCTGAGAGAGAGTTCTTTCTCTGTCTTCCCACTGAGGGGGGAAGAGTGGTCAGGCGGGGAGCAGCTGGGCTCCTTGTGTGCAGGTAAGGCAGAGAGGAGAGGTGAAGCTTTAAGGGGAAGAGGAATTTGAGGGGCTAAGCGACTGAGATCAACAAAGGGAACCATCAAGAAATGGGAGAATGGGGCGGGAAGGGAGGAAGGCGGAGAGGCTGTTCTGTACATAGCTCATGATCAAGGGGCGTGGGGCGCTCTGCTGGGAAGCGGCTCTCTTTCCCGTGCTGAAGAGGGCTGTCCTGCTAGACCCCTGTGGCCACCAGAGCATTTTAGGGTGTTGCCTTCCACCTAAGGGAGTCTGAGGGCTCTTTACCCTCCTGGGGTAAAGAAAAACATTTTTAAAAGTTGGTGATTTTAGGGCTGGGGATATAGCTCAGTGGTATAAGTGCCTGCCTGGCAAATGCAAGGTTCCAGAGTTTGATTCCCTATACTCAAAAAGTTAGTGATTTTTAAGAGTATCATAATTACGCACAAGTGTTCTGGTATTTTGTAAAACAAACTATATGTCTAAGTCATTCTTCATTAGGAATCATCTTTGTTTCTGCTTTTTATAGGGAATTACCCACATTCAAGAAAGATCTGGTATTAGTAGTGGGTTCTGTGTCATGTTTTTCATATAAGAAATAATTGTAACTCCCAACCTGCTAGATGTCAGATATGTGAGTTCATGTTCCTCAAAACTGAAGAATGAATTCTAAGAAACAATGGAGCTTAACAGTAGGAAAACTATTGAGAGAGAGAGAGAGAGAGAGAGAGAGAGAGAGAGAAAGAGAGAGAGAGAGAGAGCACTCGAGCTCCTGAGAGACAAGAGAGGACCCGAAAGTGGGTTGCCAAAGAGTCCACTCCTTAAAGGAAATTTTATAGAGCAAAATCAGGAGGTGGGTGCCGCAAGGGTCAAAACTGTGACTAACCTCTAGGATTACAAGTATAGCCCCTAGGTAACACTGATCCAGTTGGGAAGCAAGTCACATAGCAAGTGTATATGAATGAACACAAACCTTTTTTAGGAAGGAATGGTTCAGAAGGTCCTGGTCACCCATGTGGGTGACCGATGTCTATGTAGGCTTTATCGGACCAGGTGAGTCTAATCTTCAGTGTATTGCTTATCCTTTGGGAGGTACATAGACCTTGTCATTACCTCTTTATCACGAGGTCTGGCCTTCTACAGATGCACCTTCAGTCACAGTTTGGATGCATTATCTTCTGTGTCAGCTCTTTCTGGGGCCCAGCCCTGTCTGATTGTCTGCAGTATTTATACCTAACTTAGCTGTCTATAATATTTTTTTCATCTTTTTTTTTTTTTTTTTCCTTTTTTCCGGTACCGGGGATCGAACTCACGACCGCCTGCTTGCAAGGCAGGTGCTTACGCCGCTGAGCTAAATCCCCAGCCCCTATAATATTTTGAACTAATAAGATTTTCTTGTTGAGAGCCATTTGTGTCTGATTCAAAATGATAGCTTCAGGAACAATTTGTTATATTTTCTCTGCAATAAGTTCTTTTTGTTCAGGAATCTGTTATTATTGAAAAAGCATTTAGTGTAGGTAAATGACCTTTGCCTTCTGTCGTAATTGAAACTCAGCTTGCCACAGTTAATGTGTTTTATGAGTAAATCTTGGAAAAAAAACAAAAAATTTCTTGGCTTCGGCACATATTTTTCTATGCAAACAATTTTTTACTTTCATGTAGAAAGAACTCTTGGCCTTTTGTGCCATAATCTTCTGAACTTTGCCTTCCGTATCTGTTCAGCTGTAGATCCTTTTGTTTTGAGAGGCCGTCACCTTTTGTCAGCATGGAAGGGAATGTGAGACTGAGTCATTCTCTGGGTGTGGGACTTGGGCTGGATCTCTCTGCTAACAAAGTGGGTATGACAGAAGCGCACTGGAAGGGCTAGTTCCATACTGTGTTACTTAAATGGCCTGGGCCGAGACATTTTAGTGACATGAGATCTTCCCTCACTTATAAAATTCAAGGTAGATCTTGTGTAACCAATCATCCCACAACTTACTGACTTAAATCCACAGTAACTCATCGCTTAATGATGTTGTATGTTTTAAGAAATATATCAGGTGATTTCGCTGTATGAATATCATTAAGTAGTATACTTATATAAAGTACTATGCCACTAGGTTATATAATTTCACATGACCTCCATTTGTCATTGACTGGAATATTATGTGGTATGGGACTGTATTACTTTTCACTATGTCCTTGGGTGTCCAGGTAGATTGCTGGGTTTTTCTGGGCTTACTCACTTCGCTAGATGTATTTGGAAGATTGGTTTGGGCTGGGTTTATTTGGGATAACAGGAATGACTGGCATTTATGTCTAGGTAGTGTATTTTATGTTGGGCTTCTTTATACCACAGAGGTCTAGTGGTCCCAAGAATATGAATGTAGAATAAAATGACTTCACAGTATCATTTCTACCTTATCTCTCAGTCAAAGCAAGTCTCAAGGACAAACGAGACTTGAGGAATGGTGACTCTTCCTCTTGAAAGAAGGAACCCCAAGTCACTGTAACTGTTAGGATTTGTGTCTAGATGTTTCCCCAAAGCCTCATGCAGGCACGAGGGCAGGCTTCCAGAGCTTGTGACTGAGTCAAAGTCCAGTGCTGGCATTACGGGTGTGAGTGCCACACCCTCCCTGGGGCAGCAGCCTGCAGACAGCATGAGGGCTGAAAGAGGCTCGTTCTCCCTCTGCTCCGCTTCTGCTCTGGCTGCTTTACTGTATTCTGCTGCCATGAACAGCAGCCACGCCACTGCGCCTTGAAGCCAGCTGATTGTGGACTAAAACCTCCACAAAATGTGAGCTAAATAAACCTTTCCTTCCTTAATTTTGGGCTTTGGGTATTTTGTCTCAACAGAGAGAGAAAAGTAACCAAGACAGTGACCAAATTGTTGTGGTTGTTTTTAAATCTACCATATAGCTGGTTACCTAGGAAAAAATTATTAAGCTATATGGGGCTGGGATTGGTGAACATATCTGAGTTCGAATTTTATTTATTTAGTTAGTTTACTCTTTCTGTGTGTGTAGTACTGAACTTAGTACCTTTACACTGAGTTACCTCCCAGCCTTTCCTTTACCTTTTGTTTTGAGATGGGGTCTCATTTTTTTGGCTGGGCTGATGCGTTTGCCACAACCTCCCAGAGAATTTATGTTGCAGAAATGTGTCACTATGACCCACTTTTTATTTGCTTTCTTGGTAGCATTGGGGATTGAACTCAGGGCCTCATGCATTCTAAGCAAGTGCTCTATGACTGAGCAACATCCTTGAGTCTTAATAGTTGGTATCTGTCAGGTATTTCTAGACTGGAGTAGATTATGAGGGTAGCTGTGTACGTGCATGAATACTCCAAAGTGAAGCTGTATCGTATAACCCCATGCCTCGCTTCTTGATCTTTGTGGTTGTTGATCATTTGTACAAGTTGAACCTAGAGCCTTCACACCGAGCTATCTCCTCAGCGTTTTTATCCTGAGACAGAATCTCACTAAGTTGCTATATTGCCCAGGCTGGCCTTGAATTTGTGATTCTATTGCCTCAGCCTCCCAGAGTGCTGGGATTACAGACATGTATCAGTATGCTTGGCTTCATTTCTTTATTTTGACATTGGATCATCTCTGGGATTTAACAAGAAGTTTTGGATTGGTAGGGCTGGGGATGTATCTCAGTAGTAAACTATTGGCCTACAGGCACAGGGCCCAAGTTCAGCCCCAACACTAGGAAAACACAAAGAAAAAAGGAAAAGAAAAGAGTGTGGGATTAGTCCTGCATTGACTATTCGAGGGGCTCAGTAGGTGGGCCCACAGGATCAGAGATGGGGAGAGTCCACCGTGGCCATCGGTAGACTTCTTTTTTGGTACTGGGATTTGAATCCAGGACCTCGTGCTTGCCAGGAGAGTCCTGTGCCACTGAGCTCATCCCCAACCCCTGCCAGCACCATCTGTTCTCTGAAGACCTGGAGGGGGCATCGGCTACACAGTGCGGGAAGCTAAAGCCACAGCACAAGCGGGACCAGGAAGGCAGTGCCAGTCAGAGGCTGAAGGCCGGGACGCTCCCGGAGAGCGCAAATCTGCACTGAGAGCTGCAGACACTGGACTCTGTGTCCACAGGGGATGACAGTGACAAAAGCCACAGCCCCTCAAGGAGCGCAGCGCTCCTCAAATGCAGGCTGACTTCTTCCTCCTCCCTCTTTCATGCCATCCATTTCGTAAACCATCCAGAAAGGTACCACCCACTGTCAGGGCAGGGCGGGCGCTCCTCAGCTGTGGGCCTCCTTGCCCATCACTTCTGGAAATGCCTCACGCGCACACCCAGAAGCGCTTTACTAATCTGCTAGAAGTCGGGTGCGGTGGCAAAGCCTGAATCCCAACTCGGGGAGTCCGAGGGAGGCTGAGTGTGGGAAGCTTGAGTCAGCCTGGGCTCCAGAGTGCGTTTCAGCCCAGCCTGACCTGCACATCCAGGCCCTGTCTCAAACAAAAACAAACAAACAAACTGATCTGTAGGCATTTCTTAATCCAGTTAAATTGGCATATCATGATTAAGGGCCAGAGTGCCTGTCATACATCTTGGCACTAATTGAGAGGGATCACGTAAGAAAATGCTTTGCAAAGTACTTGCACATGGTGGCTGTTCAAAGGAATGGTACTAATTTTCCTTTTTTATTTTCTTGTTTTATTGTTTACAGTTCTGGGGATGGAATCTAGGACCTTGGACATGCTAAGCAAGTGATTTATTGCTGCTACCTCTTCAGCCCAGTTTTTCTTATTCCTAGCTGTGTATGTTTATTTTACATGTGATTCACATTCCTTGAAAAAAATTGGAAAATCTAGAAAAGCAAAATGAGAAAAATTATTTCAAATTAATCAGTCTTATCACTCAGATTTAGTCACCAATAACCCTTTTATAACATATCCATAGAATCTAGGCTGACTTCAGTGCCTTGCACATGCTGATCGATGGACTGCTTGTGCGTGTGACAGAGGAAGGGAGGGAGCCAGAGGGGAGGAAAAGGAGGTGAGTGAGGAGAAGGAGGGAAGGGGTGTGTGTTTGTAGATAGATATTTTAAGAAATTAAGGAAAAATCCCAGAAATACGTTACCTTTTATTACCAGTGCCTCCTCTTCACCCTGGGATATTTAGGGCCCAGCGACTACAGTGCATACTACACAAGTCACAACTTGCTGTTTTAGTCTCCTCATGTCTGAGATGTTAGGCACCAACTTATATCCCAGCTACTACCCCTTAATTTCTCAGAACACTAGGCTCCTAAGATGTTCTTAGAAGTGTCCTTTGCAAATAAATTAGGAAAATGCTACATATTATTTCCTAGTCTTTGAGAATCAAAGATGCTTAATAGCATATTAAAAATTCAAATTTAAGTGAACTCTAAATTAGTTAATTAATTGACTTTGTTGTGGTGTTTGGAAACAGGTCTTGTCATGCGGTTCATCTGGCCTTGAAATCACTAGCCAGGCTGGCCTCAACTTGCTGTGATCTTCTCAAGTGCTGGAATTGTAGCCACCACACCCAGCCTTGCATTTTATTTAGAAAAGTAACATACAGCATGTTAACTTTCGGTGACTTAGATGAAATGCTTAAATAAATTAACTTAAAAGAAAAAAAGGTTTGTTTTGGTTCTTGGTATTGGAAGTTTCATTCACTCTTGCTTTTTAGGCCTGTGGCAAAGCCGAACCTCATGGTGGGGAGTGCGTGGTGGGACGCAAGTTGCTCACTTCCTGGTGGCCCGGAACTGGGAGGGAGGGCGTGGGTCTCCAGAGTCCTTTCAAGAGCATGTGCCGGGGGACCCCACTTCCACCAGACTCCACCCATAAAGGGGCCACTTCCCTCCCTGAGGCACCACAGGCTGTCACCAAACCTTTACCTGATGAGCCTTTGGGGGACATTTAAAACCCTAACCACAGTATTTAGTAAAAATTAACATTTAGGTATATATAAACATTCATGAAATCTCCACAGCTTTAGTCACATCATTAACAGCATAATCAGGATATAGAACAGTGTGTTCCACCCCAAAACTCTCTTGCTCTCTCTAGTTACGCCTCCACCACGTTATCCTGGCAACCATGGATCTATTTTCTACCACTGTAGTTTCTGTTTTTGTTATTTTTCAATCCAAGGGTGTCATATAAGTGAAATCACAATGCACAGCCTTTCTAATTGTCTTCTTTCATTCAAGCGATACCTTTAAGACACAGTTGTTGTACATATAAATAGTTAGATCTTTGTTATTGCTGATTCATATCCCATTGTAGGGATGTACCAAAGTTTATTTCTCCTCCTAAGGGATATCTGAGTTGTTCCCAGTCTATGTTGGTTATGAATGGAGCTGCTATAAGCGTTTATGTACAGGTTTTGATATGAATGCAAAATTTTCTCTCTGTAAGATTGGTCCCATAAATGGATTGCTGGGTTATCTGATAAATGTATGTAAGCAAGCTATTTGTGTAGCACCTGTTGAGGTCCCATATAACCGTAACCAGTATTGCACAGAACGGACTATTAACATGCTGTAGTCTAGTGTCTCATAGAATGGCCTCTGGGAAATAAAGCTTTGGGAAAGAAGGCGTTGAATACTGTCACTTAATGCTGTTTTTGAAAGTCAGAGCCACTCAGATCCATCTCACACACCCAAGGCTAAGTCAAGACTCCCACCATATCCATAAAGCACTAAGTGGTGACATTTGTATCATTATTTCATTTAGTGCTCACAGAAATCTGTGATTCTACAAATGAGTGCACTGGGGCCCTGAGATTGCTTAAGTGTGCACAGTTGGTAACTCACGAGATTTGAACCCTTGTGTCCTGTCTCCAAGTCTAGGGTTTTTCATTTGCCCTCTTTCCGTGTTATTTCTGTTTTTGAATATGTTCTCTTTTTCACCAGCCCTGGTGGATGCAGTTTTCTCCAGACAGCTCTCAGTACATCCGTGTTAGCACTTGAGCTAACTGCCATTGCTGTTTGTTCTTGGATTTTGTATTAGTTATCAATTGCTGTGGAGCAAATTATTTTGAAACACAGTGACTGATCTTTCGTGATGTGTTTGAGTGAAGAATTTAAACAGGGCCCTGTGGAATGGCTGTCTCTTCCACCCCGTGCCTTGGGCTTGTGTCCAGCTGGAAGACGAGAAGTCTGGCTGTGGCATCTGCTCTCTGGTCAGCCGGTTAATTCTGCTGGCAGGTGGGGCATTGCCTGCAACACCAGCAGGGGCCTTCTCTGTGTGGCCTGGGCTTCCTCACAGTGCTGTGCACTGGGTGCAAAGGCTTATGTCCCAAGAGAGACAAAGGTAGGTGGAAGTCACGACCCTCATTTCTCCACATTCTGTTTCTTAGAGGTCAGCCACTAAGTCCAGTCCATGTTCAAAGGGCAGTAATTTCAATCCCCACTCCCCTCCAAGGGAAGATTGTCAAACAATTTGCAGAAATACTGAAAAGCCACCAAGTATTAGGCACATATCGGACCCAGACTGTCTGTGCAGCAGTGTTTGTGTGAGCCTCACACAGCCCATGGAAAGCTAGTGCTGGAATTAAAGCTATTTATTGATGGTGTTGGGGACTGTATTCAGAGCTTATGTAGGGCGCACCCACAGTGAATATTTGCTGACGGAGAGAATGCTCTTAAAATCCTGCCCTCTGCCCTTTGTTGGATGTTAAAGGCAATTTCACTTAACCAGCTGTCTGATCTCTGACTAGACTCAGAGATCAGACAGAAAAAGCTGAGTGGAATCTCATTTAGGGCTTATTCTTTATGTAATTCCACAAAGCGGTGTTGTGCTTCAGTGTCCATACTTTCATTATTCATGGAAAATTTTTAGGCATAGTGAAATCAGCAAGAAAGCTTTCCAAAAGTGACGGTCAACTAAAGGAAGGAATTGGGTGATTCACTGAACTGGAAAGTTTAAGTGGATAAATTTATCATGATTAGATCTGGGCCCTGAAGAAATGTGTTGAGGACGTAGTTGCTCTGTGTCCAGCTTTTCCTCTGTACTGTAGCACTATTCCTGATTCTGTTAGCTTTCTTCTCAAGGAAGCCTTCCCAGGATGTTCCGCTCACTGGCTCTGGGCAAACATCCTCTGGGTCCAGCATGCCCCGTGGACCAAGTAGTCTCTTCTCCTATAGGCCAGAAAGGCAAAGAGACTGATGCTGATTGGCCAGCCTTGGGTCACATGGTTGGCCCTGAGCCAATCACTGCCACAGGAAATCCAGTCCTGGACAGTGGGCAGTTCGCCCCTCTTGGACCCACGAACTAGTGTTAGAGGAATTTTTTTTTTTTTTTAAAGATGAATTTTGTTTTTGTTTTAATTGGAGGGCAGTGTGCTAGGTAATGCTCTCCTGTACTCTGGTGTGCTTTTGATTCTTTCTGAGAACTCTCTCCTCTCCAAGGGGCCTTTCTCTACCTGCTCCCACAGTCATGTCTGCGCCACCGTGGAGGCTCTTGAGTTTCTGCCAGGGAGAACAATGCAAAGAGGAAACAGACCCTTCCTCAGTGTAAGGTCTGGCTGACCCTTCCTCAGTGTAAGGTCTGGCTGACCCTTCCTCAGTGTAAGGTCTGGCTGGCTGACCCTTCCTCAGTGTAAGGTCTGGCTCTTGGCTACTGATGCTTGGTCTGTGTCAGTGAGTTCCTGATTCCTGAGTGCCGAATGGTCAGTGTTTGTGGGGCACAGATCGTTATGGTTTTAATCTTAATTTTCTGCCCTTTTCACCTGCCTCTTCTGTCAGGAAATGATTATTCCGTGCCCGGGTCTTGGCCTCGGACTCCTCCACTCTGTACTCTCTGGTGTTTACACACCTGTTAGCTAGCATCCCACTTCCCTTAGTTCTCGTTGCTCTGTTTATCTTATTTTTCCGTTCCCGTTCCTATCTTAACTTCAGAGTCTCTCTTGGCCCAAAGTATTTCCTAGCTGACACTTCCAGGTCAGTTTTCCGGGCCATAATAACTTTTGTGTTGCCAGGCTCTCTGTCTCCCTTTCTCTTTTGGAGGTCAACTGAGGCATAAAGGCATAAAAGTTGGATTCAGAACCAGAAACCCTGGGCTTACAGCCCAGCACTATGCAACTTCAGACAAAGCTTTTTCCTATTTATAAACCCAAGTTTTCTTATCTGTAAATTGGGAAGAATAATATCTACTGCACAGAATTGCCTTGGGGCTTAAACAAGAGAATGCAAGCCCTGCAAGATAGTAATTCTAAAATGTGACTAGATATAAGATCAAAATGAATTTATTTTGTCCTCTTCCTAGTTATACAGGAGAACTATGATTCCCAACCTTCCAGATGTCGGATACACTAAATCCATGTTCCCCAAAATCAAAGAATGGATTCCAAGCAAAAGCGAAGGTTGAGTGGGAAAGACTTCTTGAGAGAGAGAGCTCCTTAAAGATGTCCTGAAAATGGGTTGCCATCGAGGGTCTTTGTCACATATGATTTATATGGCAAAATCACAACATGTGTACAACATGGGTCAAACTACAGTTAAATAAGATTACCAGTACAGCTAATATTGATCCAATAGGGTAGCAGGTCACATGGTAAAGGCATTTTTGAGGAGGGATGGGTCCAGATGCTCTGGTCACCAACCTGGGTGACTGATGCCTGTCTGGACTTTACTGGACCAGGTGATACCAATTATAGTATAATCTTGAGTTATTGCTTATCCTTCAGAGAGGCAGCTAAACCTGATCATCGCATCATTATCTTGAGGCCTGGCCTCCATCAGATTCACCTCCAGCCACAGCTGTGCTGTGTTCTCATCTTCTGCACTGACTCCCCTGAGGGCCCAGTTCTGTCTGGCTGCCTGTTCATTTCTACCTACCTTAACTGCCTGGAATACTAGCACCTTACATTTATGGAGTTTTCTCCTGTCAAGCAGGCAGTCAATTTTGCTCGCTAACTCAGGGAAGAAAATGTCAGAGCATTAAAAAAAAAAAAAATTGAGAAACAAAAACCAAAATAAGGATCTTTCCTGCTTTGGTTTTTGAAAGCTTAATGTCCCCAGAGGACACCAAGGGCACCTGCACGTGGGGAAAGTGGTGAGTGCACAGGGAGGAGAAGAAAGCTCCCTCAGACTAGCAAAGCTTGTATCGTCTGGGCAGAGTGGAGGAGAACGGTGAGAGGTTCAGACAGAGAGGTGCAAGGAAAGCAGAGAGCTACCAGTCCTGGGGGTGGGCAGAGCGCTGAGGGGCAGAAAGGACGCGGCGGGGTACTGAGCCAAAGCTTCTGAGTTCCCAGGCCAAAAATGGCCTGGTTGGAAGATGTTATGCTGCCTGGAGATGAGGAACAGACAAAGTGATGACAATTTCAGCGGACAGCTGCATGGAGGATGACAGCAAGGACCAGAATGCACTTCTTCTCAGCTCCATTGTTCCCCATAAATACCCACAGCAGAGCAGCACAGAAGGAAGGGTTCCCATTAACCGAGGCTACATTTGCATACGGTCTGTGCATGGCTGTGTGAGATTGAGAATTGTAACCAGTACCCACGGGAAGTACCTTGCTAGCTTTTGTGTGGGCACCGCATCTGTTTACTGAGTCTGAATCCAGATGATATTAATCCTTTGAATTTATTTCATACCCTGCTTGATGCCCAGGGCCCAGTTCTGTTATTCCCATATTCGTGGTTGGAAAGTCTAGTCCTTGGATCCACAGCCAGGGCCTCCCTGGGCCTTTGTTAGAAACACACACTCGGCAGCGTTGTCCAGAACTGCTGAATTGGAATATCTTCCAGAGCTTGTGAAGTGTGTGAGAGTTTAAGAACCAGCATCCTGAAATATTTCAGTTTGCCAGGCTTAGTCACAGGCTCAGACATAAGCAGTCAAGCCCCCTTTGGATGCTTGGGGCCAGTCACACGCTGTGAGCCTCTTCCACCAAGACAGGAGAGCTGCTGACTCCCCCCAGAAGCTTCCTCATTCTCATACTAGTTAATTTCACCTCATTTAGGCTCCAGTTTCTGTAAGAGAAAGAGTGGGGAGCAAATAAGTGGGGAGAAGGAATCACAGGCAAACACGACCTTAACCCTTACCAAATCTCCATGAAACTGGAGACTGTCAGAGGGAAAGGTTTCATGTCCTGCAAGCTCCTGGGGAGATGTGTGGCAAGCGCTTTCCTTTTTCTGGATCAGGAAGTGAAGCACGCAGAAGGAATTTACAATGGGCACATGAATGGAGTCCACACAGCCCCACCGAAGCTGCTTGGCACAGGCCCTTTCTACCAGCTCTCTTCATAAGTAATGAGCACTCCCCAGGCCCCTGGAAGAACAAGGCTCCTGGCTGGCCCCTTTTTCTTTTTCCTCGACTGCTTTTTTTTTTTTTTAAACAGGGGACTGTGCCTTTTTGGCCCACTTGGAATTGGTGTGAGCCTTGATTTGGCAGGAGAAAGGAAGAAGTACACAGTGGCCCACAAAACTCTGCTCCCTGGCCCTCCTCCTCAAATAATAGGCCTTTGTGCTTTGAGATGCAAGATGTCCATTTCTCAAGTTTAGAAAACAAGGCAAAACAAAACAAGCTTCCTTCAGGCTCCTTTCCTGCCTTAAGATGCTTAGCAGGAACAGAACAATAAAAAAATTGAACCCAAAAGAATTTTAGACATTGTTGGAGAGCTGACTTTTATTTTTATTTTTTTAAATTTTATTTTAAAGAGGATAAAACCAAGGATAATAAAACCAATAAAAATAAACCCATGTAAGTGTCGCAGGACTTCAAAACATTACAAAAGCAACAACAATTACTATAATGCCTTTTGTTGTCTTCAAAATAGCTGCAGATACCTTCGGACATAGTAAAAAATCAAACAGAATGCAATAAAATAGAAACAATAAAAACAAAACATGAGTGCAATAAAGGACTTCAAAACAGGCCAGTAGGAAATCCAAAATTGCCACCATGATACATCTTGCCATCTTTGCAATGGCTTTTCCTGCCTTTAGATTTAACACAAACAAACTAAAAGAGAATAAAACCAACCCAACAAAACAATGAAGAGATACAGGACTCAAAGCAAGACCACAGCAAACCAACAGTGCCTGCAGCCCTCAGAGGGAGAGCCCCACAGGCCACACTGTCTGCGGATGACCAGACCACTGGCCCTAGACCTGCAAGGTCAGTGAGACATCAAAACACCACGGGCATCCCATTGCATTTCGCATTGATAGCTGTGATCACAGCCTGTGCTTCTCTGGACCAGCTGGTCGCTGACCGGGGTGGGGGGACACTTCTTGTCTGCCTGTCCATGTGCTGGCAGGGACTGGGGTCTGGCTGTCCCAGTCTGGTGGTGGACTGTGCATGGCGCTGGTTCTCAGACAGGGCTTGCTTCCTGGTGTTCAGAGCTGACTTATAAAGAAATGTACTTGATGCATTCTTTCAGAAGGATAAAAATATTGGGTTGTTAAAAATCCAGCTTTTAAAAATATCATAGGGAACAAATGTTTTATATATACATATATATTTTATATATAACATACAATGCATGCATCTCTATCTATCTATCTGTCTGTCTGTCTATTCATCTATCTATTTATCTATCTATCTATGTTAAAAAGCAAAAACAGTTTTTGGCTATAGCCAGTGACCCACATTCATGAAATATTTGACAAACTAAAACTGCCTTTTGAAAGAAGAATTCAGCATTTGGAGTCTGTTGAGGAGAGTTTTTGATAATAGATATAATTTAACTCATTCATTTCTGTTGATTCTTCCCTAATTCTTTTGTGTTCTTCTCTTCTTTTGAAGGTATATACCAATGGCATAACATTTTTTTTTAATTTCAAAAGCAAATTATATTCAAAAAACATCTTGATCACTTTGATCACTCAGGGCTGCATGTGTTTCAGTGGGTTAGGTGTCTTTACACACCTTTGATTTTCATTTTACCATAAGAGATGAGCTTTCTCCATTTATTTTAATATTTTGTACAATGTGTCAGGAGGTAGAAAACATTCTTCCATTGACGACTGTTACTCATCTTTTTGGCTAAGTTTGGGTGAGCCAGGCTGTGGGACTATAAACTCGGGGGGAACTATCAGCCTCCTGTGAGAGCTTATTGTGTGCTCTGTCCCCAGCCACTCCGCTGTCTTACCTATCCGGCTTGGATTTGTGTTTTCCTCCCCGTCACTCAGGTGATCTTTGTGGGCTTTCCTCTAAAGATCAGGCAGGCACTGGGAAAGTTTGTTCAAAGACTGGTTGTCAGGGGTGGTGCAGGCCTGTAACCCCGGCGCTCAGAGGACACAAAAGACACGAAAACTACACAGGGAGGATGACCAGTTTGAGGACAGCTGGAATTACATTGTGAGACCCTGTCTCAAAAAACAAAACAAAACTTTCTCAGTGCTTGCTGCTCTCATGTTGGAGAGTCAGTCTTCTGCAGCAGCCCAGGTCATGCAGCTCGGTCAGCTTGAGAGAGACTCGGGTGAGAAGTGCAGCCAGCTCCGCCTCCAAGATGCAGGCAGGGTCCGCTCCTGCGCGCCTTGGCCAAGCGCTGCCCAGCACTGCTAAGGTGGGGCTGGGGGCCACGGCTGGACCTCTTCCCACTTAACCTTTCCCCTTGCAGTCTTCTCCATAAGTGTCTCCCCAGCACATCTCAGCCTGGCCAGATGGCATCAGCGTCCCAGAGGTGACTAACTCTGTTCCTGAGAGCTGCAACAGCAAGCACTGCTGAAGGCGCTGTGAGCACACCGAGATCTCACCCAGGAGAGCGCAGCAAAGGGAGCCCGCTGTGGCTGCTGCCCCCAGCTGCTCTCACCGCTCTGATGCCCCAGGGAGCAGGTGGAGTGTGCTGTCAGCTGGGTGATTTTCACTTAACGGGAGCACACCCCCTGTACGGCAGTAACCAGGCGTTGTCTCTGGGTTAGGGGTAAAGAGGAGGGACTGGGAGGACCTCTTTAAATGGAAGAGGCAGAGAGGCCTTCACTTCATACTTAACTGTAAGTATTGAGCAGCCAGCGCAGGCCAGGCTCTCTGCAGAGTGCTGGGCCGTGCAGGCACTTAGGGTGCAGGTGCTGTTAAAGAGCTCAGGGAACATTAAAGGCGACAAGGGGAGGACAAGCAGGTCTGTAAGTGCTTGGGGCCGTGACGGAAGTGAAAGGAGCTCGGGAAGGAAGAACCATTGCTCCAGAGAAACCAGTATCAACTCAGATGGACTCCAGAAGGCTATGTTTATCACGCTAGCGTGGGACCAAGTGCAAATCCTAGCAGTGACTGAGTGTGAAATAGAAACTTACATACATTTTGAACACAGGAAGGACAAAAGCTGATAGCAAGGTTTTACATGATTGCACGCATTGTCAGTCAGATCATTCTAACTAGCTTTACTTAAGAAGAATTGTTTATCATAATATGGGAACATTCTGGGAAAGCGGGGAGGGGGTTTCTTGCAGAAAAAACAGTGAAGTGTGTCCTTGACTGGGCCAGTCTCTGGGCCTGAAGTCCTTAAGCAGGTAACACAGCCAAGTTGACTGCATGATCTGGGTACCGACAGTCAAGGCTAGCAGCAGTTAGCAGGCCACTGTGTGGCAAGCAGCAGGAGCATGTCGCAGGCCTCTCACTGATCTCCAGCTTTATTGTGAGATACTTAGAAGTCTGCCCTTACATGTAATTGTGCCCCAACACCGTGGCTTTGGGGACGCCATTTCTAACGTTTCTCCCTTCCAGGCTTCCGTCCCTCCCTGAACCCTGTACGCTTTGCATCTCACACCCTTGCTCTCATCTCCCTGGCTGCCAGCGCAGAGCTCTGTGAACAGAACGCCCCCCTTTGTGTTCAGGTGCACCCCAGAGCTCACTTCTATGTCAGTCTTCTGCTACTCTAGCAAATGCCTGGGCTCATCAGGTCAAGAAGACAGCAGGCTGACTCTGCGCCCCAGTTCCGGAGGGGAAGGCCCTTGGCTGGTTGGGCCCATTGCCTTTGCAGTGAGGCAGTGCAGCCTGCTAGGAGCACAAGGTAAAGCCACTTAGCTCATGGCCAGTGAGAAGAGAAAGAGACCAGCGGCTCACAGGCACCTTTGAAGGCCACCCAAAGCGCTTAGGATGGTGTTGTTTTAATCATCGTGGCAGTTTGGAGTATGATTTCTTTCTTTTTTTTTTTAAGAGTAGGAAGAACTTATGGAAAGAACATGGCCTCTGTTCAAGAGGGACAGAGTGGGGTCTGGCAGGTGGTTTGCCCTTGCAGGATAATTTCAGATTGGAAATGTGATGCCTCCGGCCTTGCCTTTGTTGCCAAGAGTTGCTTCTGCTATTCTAGGTCTCTTTTGGTTCCAGAGGAATTTTAGGATTGTTTTCTCTAATTCTGTGAGATACGCTGTCAGTATTTTGACTGGACTGCATTAAATTTGTATAACACTGTTTTTTTTTTTTTTTTTTTTGTTTGTTTGTTTTTGAGACGGTGTCTCACTGTGCAGTTCAGGCTGGCCTTAAGCTCACTTTGTAGCCCAGGCTGCTCTAGAACTCACAGGGAGTCTCTAGCCTCAGCTCCCGAGTGCTGGGATTGCAGGTGTGTGCCACCACACCTGGCTCTGTACAACATTTTGGAAATATGGCCATTTTCACTATATTGGCTCTGCCTATCTAAAAACAAGGGATATTTCTTCATTTTCTGATCTTTTAGCATCTCCTTTTTCAGAATACTGTGGTTTTCTAAGTAAAGGTCTTTCACTTCCTTTGTTAGGTTTATCATTTTTTTTTTCTTTTCGAGGCAGGGTTTCACCATGCAGTTCAAGGCTGGTATGTAACTCGCTTTGTAGCCCAGGATGGCCTCAAATTCACAGCCATCTGCCTGCCTCAGCCTCCTGAGTGCTAGGATTATAGTCATGTGCCAGCGTGCCTGGCTGTTAGGTTGGTTCTTAAGTATTTCATTTTTCTTCACAGTATTGTGAAAGGTGTTAATTACCTAATTTCTGTCTCAGTAAGTTTGTTATTCATGTATGGAAATACTACTGATTTTTGAGTGTTGATTTTGTATCCTGTTATGCTGCTGAATTGCATTAAAATCTAGGGTTATTTTGGTAGAGCTTTTGAGGTCTTCTACATATAGTAACATGTCATCAGCAAATAATGATGATTTATCCTGTTACTTTTTTATCCTTATTCCTTTTTTTTCTTTCTCTTGTCTAATTGGGCTGAGAATATAGCTCAGTGGCGTAGTGCCTGCCTAGCAAATGTGAGGTTGGGAGTTCAATTCCTGGTACAAAAAAAAAAAAGTCCTGGGAAAGTGCCTTCCCACAGGCTGAAGGTTGAACTCTGTACCACACTTGTCACCATACACTAAAATAAAATCTTGCCTAATTGCTCTAGTTAATATTCTCAGAACTATATTGAGTAGGAGTGGTGATAGTGACTCCCTTGTCTTGCTCCTGATTTTAGAGTGAAACCTTTTAGCTTTTGATCTTTTAGTATGATGTTGGCTGTTGGTTTGTCATAGATGGTTTTTATCAGATTGAGCTAATAACTTTCTATTCCAATTTCTGTAGGATTTCTTTTATCATAAATAGGCACTGGACTTTGTCAAATGATTTTTCTTGACCTGTTACAATATCATGTGGTTTTTGTCCTTTAGTCTGTACACACCCTTTATCACATTTATTGATTTGCACCTGTGAGCCTCCCCCATCCCTGGGGTGAATCCTGCTGGATTGTGGTGTGTAATCTTCCTGATGATTCGCTGCCTTCTGTTTGCCAGTATTTTATTGAGGGCTTTTGCAGCTACGTATCTTAAAGAGATTGGCCTGTAGTTCTCTTTCTTGACTGGGTTCCTTTCTGTGTTTAGTATCGGTGTCACGCCTCCAGGAATGACTCTGGGAGCTTCCCTTTCAGTTTCATTAAAGAGCTTGAGACGCAGTGATATCAGGGCTTCTCTCAAATTCTTGTAAAAGTCAGCAGTGAATCTGTCAGGAACTGGGTTTTCTTTGTTAGTAGTTGTCTTAAATTACATCTTCAATTTCATTGATTGATATCATGTTATTTAGAATTTTTAAATCTTCTTGATTCAGCTTTGGCAATTCATATGTATCTAGGAATCTTCCCCCTTTTCTGTGTTTTTTGTCATATGGAGTGCAGGTTTTCAAAGCAGGTATTGATGATTTTCTGGGTTTCTGCAGGGACAACTGTGATGTCACCGTTTTTACTCCAAATTGCATGGATTTGGGTCTTTTCTGTCCTTTTTTGATGAAGTTAGCTGAGGGTTTATTTTATTTAATTTGATTCATTGATTATATTGTTTTTGTAGTCTCCACTGCAGTAATTTCTACTCTGATCTTTGTAATTTTCTCCATTGTGTGAGCGCTGGTCTTGAGTTGCTCTTGTTTTTCTAGAAGTGTGAGGTCCTAACATTAATTAGGCTGTTTATCTGAGTGTGCTTTGTTTTTCCCATGTGAGAACTCACTGTATAGGTTGCCTTGTAGCATCATCTCCACTGCATCCCGTAAATCCTGTTATGTTGCATTGGCGTTGTGATTGAATGGTAGAAACTAATTTCTTCTTCTTCTTCTTCTTCTTCTTCTTCTTCTTCTTCTTCTTCTTCTTCTTCTTCTTCTTCTTCTTCTTCTTCTTCTTCTTCTTTATACTAGGAACTGAACTCGGGACCTCATGTTTGCCATGCAGATGCTGTGCCCCTGAGTTAAATCTCTGATTTCTTCTTTAATTTTATATGTGGTTCATTGGTTGTTGAGGAGGGAGTTACTGAATTTTCATTTGTTGATGAAGTCTGTATGGTTTATTTTGCCACTGAGCTCCAATTTCATTGCACTGTGGTCTGATAATGTGATGGGATAATTTCAGTTTGTTTGTACTTATTTAAGCGTGCATTATAAGCCAGCATGTGGTCTATTTTGGAGAATGTCCCATGTGCAGCTGAGTAGAATGTGCATTCTGTTTTTGTTGAGTGGAATACTCTATAGAGTATACTAAGTCCATTTGTTCAAAGTTTTGTTCAGCTCTGAGATTTCTTTGATTTTGTCTAGTTGATCTATTTGTGACAGTGGGGTACTGAGGTCCCTGTTACAGTTGTATTAGTGCTTATCTGATTTGTCACATCCACTAGCATTTGTTTTATATAGCTGAGTATGTCAGTGTTTGGTGCAGATCTATTTATGACTGTAATTTTTCCTTTTGGGTTGTTCCTTTAACAAGAATGTGGTGATCTTCTTTGTCTCTTCTGATCAGTTTTGGCTTGAAATCCCTGGTTTTCTGACTGGTTCTCTCCCTGATTGGCTTGAAATCCACTTTGTATGCAAACAGAATAGCTATTCCTCCTTTATTTCTGGGTTCCTGTGGCATGTAGTATTATTTTCCACCCTTTGACTTTCAGCCTATGAATTTCTTTTCTTCCTTTTTTCTTTGATTTTCTATTCTCCCTCACATTTTTTTTTTTTTTTTTTTTGAGACAGGGTCTCACTGTGTAATTCCGGCTGGTTTTGAGTTCACTATGGCTGGCCTTGAATTCACAGTTATTCCCTACATTACAGGAATTTGTCCCCACACTTAGCCAGTCAGTGAATTCCTTTTTGAATCACGAGTGTTTCTTGTATGAAGCATGTTGTTGGATCCTGTTTCTTGATCCTTTCTCAGTCTGTTTCCTTTGGTTTGTGAGCTGAGACCATTCACACTGATGGTATGACTGATGTATACTGACTGTTGTTGGTTTCCTTCATTTCTCTGTGTTAACAACTTGTCTTGCCTGGTGAATTCATTTCATTGGGATTCTTGGAATTGTCATCTTCATTGTCCTTTTCTAGAATATCCTTCACACATTTTGGAGTGGTGGTTTGGTTGTCATGAATTTCTTCAGGTGTCCTTTATCATGGACGTTTCCATCAATTTTGAAAGATAATTTTGTGTGTTGCATCGATCTGGGTTGTTTTCTTTTAAGACTTGAAATACTTTATCCCAAGCTCTTTTTAGTTTAAGAATTTGCATTGAAAAGTCTGCTGTGATTCTGATGGGCTTTCCTTTATAGGTGATTTGTTTCTTTTCTCTAACAGCTTTTAAAAAAATTTTGTTTTATATACTTTTTTGGTACCAGAGCTCAAACTCGCAACCTCATGCTTGCCAGGAAGGGAAGGGACTTGTGCCACTGAGCCAAACCCTTGGCCCTCTAACATCTTTTGATATTCTTCTTGTGCTGAACTTCTGGAATCTTGACTATTGTATGCGTTGGTGTAGTTTTTTTCTGATCATGATAATTTGGAGTTCTATATGCCTCAGCTATCTGTATGTCAAATTCTTTTTCCATATTTGGAAAATTTTGTGCTATTACTTCTACGAACAGAAGTAGGGGCACAAAACTTCTACAGATTTTTGTTCTATCTTCTGATTCTTTGTTGACTGTAATTATGTTAGTCTTCCTTGTATCCTCTAGCAGCTATTGGATTGATTTTCCATAGGCCATTGCTATTTTAAGAAGTCTTTCATTTGATGAACACCAACTACTACCTTATCTTCTAGATCTGATATTATCTAGCTTCACACTGGTTGACTCTGCTGTACATACATTCAATAGAATTTTTAACCTGGATTTCTTTTTGGGCTTGTATATGGAACCCAGTTTTTTCTTTTATGTTGGGCATTCATGGTTTCCATGTCTTTTCTAAACTCTATGTCTTAAAATCTGCATGTACTCTAGATTCAGTAACCATTTCCTCAAGACCTTTTTTAGAGGTGTCTTCCCGCACAGCTGGGTTTTGGCTTTTGATTCTGTTCCAGGATCCTGCCTCTTCAATTTATTATCAGTGAAAGGTTATTTCCTGTTTGCACTAGTTCCCAGTTCTCTGGTGCTGGATTACAGTATTGTTTGGGAGCTCCTGACAATCCAGGTACTAGGATACAATGAAGATCAGGTGAACACAGCAACTATGTAACCTTGGCTAATGTAGTACAATCAGCAATAGCAACAGCATCAAGCACAAATTGGAAAGTGACAAGCTGTGACAATGATTAATTTGTTGCCTTTAACCATAGGTATAAGATTTATATTATATAACAAAGTAAAACAAATTGAAAAATTATATACAATAAATGTCCACTCATGTCAGTGATTTTATCCCAAGCAGAGAAATATAAATGGTAAAATTAAGAAAAGAAAAGAAAGGAATTAGACACAGGACTGAAGGAAGATTACCCAAGCCTCAAGAGAATGGTAGAAAAGAGGAAGAAATGAAAGAAGAAACACAACAAAGCCAAATAAAAAACTAAAACAATGTTGTTACTCAAAAAAGCAAAAACAAACAAACAAATACCACAACCAACCAACCAAGCCCACAGGTAATGGGAAGAGATGAAAAAGAAATTCCCTATGATCTCAAGCCCGGGGCTGTCTTCTGAGGTCTACACTTTCGTGGTAGTGTGTCCACCTCAGGGCATGGCTCTGCACTCGCTGGCACACTAAATTAGAGCCCAGATCGAGCTGGAGACTCCCAGCAGCCTGCAGTAGGACAGGGGTGAGGTGCTGGTTCTGGTACTTGCAAATCCACAGGGGTCCAGGCTGATCCTGGCCTCTGCTGTGGGGTTACAACCTGCGTCTTTAGCTTGTAACTCTGGGTGTCCCCTGCTGGCCTGACTACTCCCCCGTTCTGGACATTTCCCATGGTTGTCCCTCACCCAGTCACTGTGGCTGTTAACACTGAGAGCTCTGAGGTGAAGCCCACCCACAGCTGCTCCGTGTCCTGGATCCCGGTGGTGCCTCCCTAGAATGATGTCTCCAGGGGACACTGCAGACACCTGGGCTGAGTCACTCAGCTGTCACAGCGCACAGCACCCACTGTTCTTTCCACTGGCACGTTTCTCCCAGGAGGCCTCTGCTTTCACAGTGTCTGTAGATTTGACCCTCCCCTCTCACGCCACAAACCAGCACTGGGCAAAGCTGCAGACTGCCCCTCCTCTTCTGTGTAGAGGTCTATCTCCACTTTCTCCGTGGGCTCCAATTCTCCCTTCCCATCCCTCCTGGCTCCTGGGGTTCCACCTCCTTCCTCTCCCCCCAGCTGCTACCTTCAGCGTGTGATTCTGAATCTTGGACAGGCTGACTTGTTGCTTGAGGTTAGTATCTTGAGTGCTCAAAGGCAAAGCTCTCTTCTATTTCACACTAAGTGGTGAGAAAATGTGTAGGGGAGTGCTACCTATTATAATAGGCATTGTCATCATCATCATCTTCTTATACTGGTCAGAGATTGAAAGCACCTCGCTGGGACTGCACACCTGAATTTGGACAGAGTGGCATGCCAGGTCATTCTCAGAAAGGTTCACCAGGTGGCGCTCTTTCCCCGGGGTAAGGTGTGACCGAGCCACCCCAGTGAGCGTGACTGAACCCTCATTGTGCTGGGAGAGAAATCACATTCTGGGCCCAGAGGCAGCCACAGTCACCAAGAATAGCTGGGGTAGAGTCCTGGTCCATCTGCCGCCTGCCTTCCTGAAGCGTCCTCTGCCCATCTCTTCCAGCTGGTGCTGGCTCCTTCCTCAGACTGTATCTCACACTGGAACCAAGTGGGAGGGCAGCACCCAGCTCTGCCAGGTAAGGGGCAGGGACAGGGCTGGGGCTGCGGGAAGGGGTCCCCCATGGGGCGCTGTGCACGGCAGAGGTGCCCTGGCCCCGTCCTCCCTCAACAGCTGCGCCCAGCGGTTTGCAGGCCCACACCTGTCCTCAGGGTCATCATGAGGCCCGAGTTCCTGCACGGGCAGCGCTGACAGTCGTGTTTGGCACAGGGCAGGGAGACGGAAGTGTTGGCGCTCTTTGCCATTCTCCCTGGATGTGGGAGCTTGCATAAGAATGCGGAGTGATGTCCCTGTCCTGCCTGTTCTCTCACCCCAGGCACCCTTTCAGAACAGCAGCTGCCACTGGTCTGATGTCCTGCAGTGCCCTGTGCTGACCTAAGACCGCAGGGTCTCGGTGAATCCGCAGGTCAGGAGGGATGCCAGAGACCGTGCGTGCAGCCTGCTGCTCTACTGTTTTCTTTTTTGAGACATGGTCTCACTGTGTAGTTCTGGCTGCCTTTGAACTCTCAGGATCCTCCTGCCTCAGCCACATGAGTGCTGGAATTACAGGAATGTGCCACCATGCCGGGAAGTATCTGTCTTTTGAAACAGGGTTTCACTATGCAGTTCAGGCTGGCTTTGACCTCACTTTGTAGCGCAGGCTGGCCTGGAACTCTCAGTAATCCTGCTGCCTTAGCCTCATGAGTGCTGGGATTACAGGCATGTACCACCACGCCTGGCTCGCCTTATTCTTGAAACCAAGGAAAACACTAAACTCAGGGCCCCGGGGAGCTGTGGGCATCACTGTGATCCTATTCCCGCAGAACCACCCTTCCCAAAGTCTCTGTCCACCGTCCTCAGGGTGAGGCTTCTCAGCTGTCCTCCTAGGCCTCAAAGGCCGGAATGTCAGGGTCCCCTGGGAAGCACTTTTCCTGAGCAACAGGCCCCTTCAGATGAGCTCCCCAGGAGCCTTCAAGGCCACAGCCCCCAGCTCGGTTTTTCTGCAGCTGCCAGGCCACTACCTGTGCCGGGGGTGGTTTGCGCTCAGGCCCAGCTGGAGCGTAATGAGAACTTTTGGTGATTCGGGCTGGCCTGCCTGGGAGTTTCTCTCCTGGCATACGCCAGAGTGTGTGCATATTGGTACCCTTTAGCCAGTATCGTGCAAGTCACAGAATCATAGACTGCTGGGCAGGGCAGGGAGGAACCTGCGTGTTGGTAGTGGACAGTGAGACCTGGCTGAGAAACAATCTTGTCAGAGTCACTGAACAGCAAGGAAGGAGATGGGATTCAAGCCTATCTTCAGCACCGAGGGCTGCTGAGTGGCTTAGGAATGAGGGTGTGCAGCAAGGCTGTGGAGCTCGGAGAGCCAGCAAATGGCGCTCTGTTGAGGACTGTCTTTGTTTGCTGCCCGTTAAACGCTGTACCATTCCTGTGCTGTGTCTAGACACTGCTGAATATCTCCTATGGGAAAGAGTTGCCTCCCCACCCACCCCATCCTGCTGAGAACCACTGCTCTAGAGTGGACTCCTTGCTCCATGGCTTCCAGAGCCACATCAAGAGCTCTGTGATTCACGTGTGTTCTGTGCCCTCCAAGGCTCAGTCTGGCTGGAGAGGGCAGGCCCGCTCAGAGCAAAGGAAGGGAGGCCATCCACAGGCAGAGCTGGGTGCAGAGTCTGCACAGGGGCGAGCACCCTGCAGACTGCGGAGATCCAGGAAGGCTTCTCAGAGCACAGTGGTGGGCTTGGTGGGTGGAGGACATCCTGGGTGGAAGGAAGGGCACAGAGAGAGCAGGGAAATACTAGCTGTTGGGGGTGGCCTGTGCAGCCCAGGAGGAGTGGCGTCAGGGTGGTGATGTGAGCAGGCTCAGCCCTGGCCCTGAAGCAGATACTGTTCCCCGGGCCTTGTGGGTATTGTCCTGTCAGTCTCCCCAGCAGTCTCCAGAGAAGGAGGCATGAAAACTCACCATACACAGGTGAAAAGGACGTGCAGAAAGCCTGGCCATTTGCCCACGTCCCACAGCTTGTGAAGATTCCGTGGAAGCTGCAGGAAGAAGCTTGGGTCTCAGGTAAAGCGGGAACGTGTTACTCCTAGCTGCAGAACAAGCCCCGAATGCACCAAACTAGCCACCTCCGTGTCGTCAGACCCAGCCGGTCGGCCCCTCATCCGGTGTGGTGTTGGGTGCGCTGGTGGTGACATGGTTGGGTTTGGTATCCCACCTTGCTGTTCCCTGTGTGGCTCCTCCTCTCTCTCCAGCCTTCTCAGTCTTTTCCTGTAGTGACACTCAGCAGAGTCATCAGAGCAGACCATTCTTGCTGGCTCAGAAACTGCCTTGTTGTTGAGACAGGGTCTCCCTATGCGATTCAGGCTGGTATCCAACTCACAGTGATCCTCCTGCCTCAGCCTCCCGAGTGCTGGCACTACAGGTGTGCACCATCATGCGCAGTACCAGGATCAATGTGTGGGCCGTCATAGCGTCTGTATTGAACTGACTGAAGTGGTCCCAGGCATCGACCAGATTCATAAGGAGGGGCGGGAGGAGGGTGCTGATGGTGGAAGGGGGGAACGTGTGGAGCCATCTTTGGATTCTGGCCATCTGAGTTCAACTTTTCTTCTAGGAACAATGGCCTGGCAGCCTTCAAGAGGCTAGACTAAGAGAAAAGGCTAATGCCATGAAGATGAATTATGATGCCCCTGCATCAACTTCTTTTTTTTACTCCTCATGTTGCTATGGAAAGACCAGAGTAATTGTATTTTAATAATAATAAAACAATAATCGTACTCATCTACATTTGTGAGCACATTTTATGTGAAAGCGTCATAAGTACTTTTCTATGCAATGTAGTGCTGATAACTGTCTCATGAAGCAGGTGTATCCCCATTTTACCTCCCAGAAAAGTGGGATCCCGTTTACGGGGCTGCTGACTATGCAACGTGAACACCAGGGAATTAAGCCTCTCACAGTGCTGGAGGCTGGAGGCCTGAAATGGAGGCGTCTGTGGGGTGGTGTCTTCTCATGCCTCCGCCCGCCCTGCTGATGGGGCTTCTGGGTCTTCCTTCTGGGGATGCGCACGTTCTCGCTCTCTCCCTCCCTCCCTCCCTCCCTCCTGCCTTCTCTCCCTGCCTCACTGGGGACTGAACCCACGGCCTCACCCTGAGCTCCCTCCCCACCCTGGGTTTTGAGACAGGGCTTCATTAGTTTCCCCAGGCAGGACTTGAACTTGCAGTCAATTTGCCTCAGCCTTCTGGAGTCTGGGATGACAGACATATGTAATTTTCTGTGTTTTTTTCGAGCAACGGGTAGGTTCCACCTGAATGATCTCATTTAATTTAATTAGCTCTTTAAAAATTCTGTCTCAAAGCTGGATGTGGTGGCAAATGCTTATAATTGCAGCACTTGGGAGGCTGAGGCAGGAGGACAGCTGCAAGTCTGAGACCAGCCTGGGCTACACAGCAAGACCCTGTCTCAGAAAAACAAATGACAAAAAATCCCTCTGTCTCAAAACCTCTGTCACATTCTGAGGCCCTCAGGGTTAGGGTTTCAACCTCGGTCTTTTGTTGTGGGTGTGATTCAGCCTTATAACACCATGTACCTAGTTAGCCTATGCTTACGGAGACAACAGGAAGTCAGGACTGGTCCTGTGTTCGTTGAACTTTGGCCATCGTTATTGATTACTACCAATACTGTTATCCACTGTTGTCTTCAGGTTTTGGCCCAAGCAGAAATAGAAAGGTGGAGAAGACAGTGAATCTGTGTTGCTTTGCATTTGGAATTTTGCTTCTTTCTATTCAAAGAGCAGAGCTTGAATTTTAGTCACTTGTTTTGTGCCCATTCCCCTGTGATTCAATCTTGGCAATCTTTTCGGCAAGATATTGAAGGAGGTAGTGGTGACAGACCCTGCGAGAGCCATGCAGGTGACGGTAATGACAAGCAGAGACCCTGCAGGGATCAGCGCTGTGTGCCGCCTGCATTGTTCATTCTCAAGCAGTCCGATTAGGCAGGCGCTATTCTGTTCCCGTTTGGCGTCCAAGGAGACAGAGGTAGAGTCACCCTGCCTCGAGTCACCCTGTTCTGCTATTAAAAGCCAACTTGAGTGTGCAGCAATCTGAACTCAGAACCTGGACTTTTTACTGTAAGGGCTTCTGCATGACCTCTGACACGCTGGCCATGAGCAGGTTCACGTTAGACAGAACTCGCCAGGCTGTTGTTTCCCCAAAAGCTTCTGATTGCAGCCATCAAAGTATTTATCAATGCACATCAAAATAAAGTACTAATATTACTGTTTTGATTGATTGGTTGGTTGATTATGGTGGTGGGCACTGAACCCCGCCAGGGCCTTCACATTGAGCTATATATCCTCAGACCCTCCCTGCCTCCCTCCCTGCCTCCTTCCTCTGTGTCTGTCTCTTTCTTTCTTTTCTCCTCCTTTTTCTTTCTTTCTTTTGTTTTTTGCTGAATCACTGAGTTGCTCAGATGAGGCCTGAATTTGCGATCCTCCTGCCTGAGCATGCCCAATTAGATTGATCAGTTTTAGAAATCTCCCAACACCGGGCATGGGGGCACACACCTGTAATCCCAGCACTCAGGAGGCTGAGGCAGGAGGATTGCCGTGACTTCGAGACCAGCCTGGGCTACAAAGTGAGTTCAAGGCCAGCCTGAACTGCACAGTGAGACCTTGTCTCAAAAACAAAACAAAATAACACACACACAAAATCATCTCTTATCTTGTGGTTATCTGAGATAAAAATGTCCTTTACTTGCCTTATACCCCCTTCTTGCAAATTCCAGTAATAGAATCATAATTTTAGTTAAATCAATCGTTTTCGATTGTGCCTTTGTGATTATATAATTATTATGTATTGCAAATCCAAAAAATACGCTGCCGTTACATCTCTTTTCTTATTCTCATTTTTGTTTGGCCTGGAGTTACTATTTCCTTTCTTGCGGTATTTTATTTCTGTTATTTCTTATTGCCCCTCCTTTCCTTCCCCTGGGGCTTTCCATGGCCCTAACAACCGTTTGCCTGGTTTACTGAACACGCTTTGTTATCTGGGACCTTCCTCCGTGAACCCCTGCTGTACTCGGGGTTTGCCTACGTGTTATTCTGGGAGTTTGCTTTGATGCGTTTTGGAGCCCGAGTTCCCGGGTCGTGCATCTTGGCTTCCTTTTTTGCTTTAGTGTGTGTATGCTTCTGTGCTTTCTACGGAAGGGTGCAAGGGAGATACAGATTTTTAAGTCCTTATTCATCTGAAAATGTCTTTTTTCTCCTCTAGTTTGTATTTGTGGTTTGGCTATACAGAATTGTAGGTTGCAAATTATTTTTGCTTGAAAGCAATGTTCCATTGTCTTTTTCAGTTTCATTTTTGAGAAGTTCAGTATAATTTTTTTCTTGTTTTTTTGAGACAGGGTCTCACTATGTAGTGCAGGCCGGCCTTGAACTTATTGTGCAGCGCAGACTGGCCTCAGACCCTCAGTGATCCTCCTGCCTCAGCTTTCTGAATGCTGGCATCACAGGTGTGCACCACCATGCCTGGCTTAGAAGTGAAAGATAATTTTTCATGTCATTCCTTTGCATATGGCTTGTCTGTCTGGTCACTTCTGGGGTCTTCTTGTACCCTTGGTGTACTTCATTCAGAGGGCTTTCAGTTGGAAACTCATGTCCTTTAACTTCAGGAAATTTTTCTAATTTTTTTGATAATCTCTTTTTCTTTGGTTGAGTTTGGTTGAGTTTGGTTGATCCCCTAAGTCTTTTATTCATCTATTCTCTCTAAGTTTTCCATCAGTTTGCCTTTGTAGTACTTCTAATCTATTAAGCTTTTAAATATTGCTATCATTTTTAATGCCTAAAGGGTCTTTTTTATTTTTCATAGCATCCTGTTGTTTGCTTTTTAACTGGTGCTTTTTAACTCTTTGGGGTAGTAATTGCAATTTGTATTTGAAGTTTTCTCTGTTCTTGGCATCATTTGTTCAATCCTCATTCAATTTTGGGAAAATTTGTTTTCTTTTATGATAGACACTTCTTAGCACATCTGGTGATGCTTAGTGGTCCCTTGGTCTTTTAGGATAAGGCACAAGACCTGACCGGAAGCCCTGCGTGCAGGGCAGAGCTCATCAACAGGAGGTCTTTGCTCTGGGTTTCTGGTGAATGATCCTGCTGGCTGGCCAGGGGAATCCTCAGTGTTCCCACCTGTGGTTTCAGTCGCACGGAGCATTCGTATTTAAAAATCAGAGAGAAGAACTATCTGAGCAAAGTCAGGGGGTTGCACATGAGAAGTAAATTACTTGGCTGGCTCGGAAAAGATCTCAGAAACTCAGAACTTTGAAAGGGTGAATGGGGTGAGAATTGGGTTAAAACCATGCTCTGCACAGCAGCCTGACTCACTCATCGCCCAGCAAAGAGAGCCTTTATCCAGGGCGAGGGGAAGTGGCACGGGTCCAGATTCCAACACAGGGCACCCCCTGGCAGAGTCAGGTGAGGGCTTGGGGTGGGGGGCTGGCGTGCTGAGCAGGGACACCCCAACTCCTTTCCTTGACTCTGCTCCCAGAATGCAGGCCACCATTTATTGCTCCCAGGCAGAAGACTAGGGATTCTCTCGGGAAAACTGAACTGCCCCATATTGCTAATCATTAAGGAAATACAAAATGAAACCACAGGATACCAGTTCATATCCATTGCTATGGCTATTAGATTTTTAAAAACCCGCAAAACCTAAAACAAAAACAACAGTTGTTGGCATGGATGTGGAGAAATCGGAATCCTCGCATACTGCTGGTGGGATGTGAGACGGTTTGCTAAGTCGTCAAGTTGCCCAAGCTGGCGTTGAACTTGTGATCCTCTTTCCTCAGCCCCTACAGGAAACGTGATGTTGATTCTTAAATGTAGAATTACCCATTTCCACTTCTGGGTACACTCACAAAAGGACTAAAACAAGAACAAAAATATTTATAGGTAATGTAATGGCAGGATTATGATTATAGCCCCAAAGTAGAAACAATCCAGATGGCCATCAGTAGGTGAATAGATACGCAAAAATGTTGGATATACATAAATAGAATATTTCAAGTCTTAAAGAAGAGTGAAATTTGATATATACTACTGACATAGGAATAATATACTATCTCCAAATAATCCAAATAATGTAAGGGAAGTGTTATAACTCTCAACCTGTTAGCCTGCTAGACATCCAATATGCCAAGTTCGTGGTCTCTAAAATTGAAGAATGAATTCTAGGAACAATAGAGGTTAACAGCAGAAAATATTTATTGGGAGAAAGAAAGTTACATTTATTGTGGGAAAGAAGACTTCTATCTAAGAGAGGCAGAAGGGGTCTCAAGTGGGTTGCCGAGGACCTGTGTTCTTTAGGGAGTTTTGCAGAGCAGCTAAGGCAGGTCTAAGATGGGAAAAATTATTACAGCCAGTAAGATTACAAGTAAGCTGCTTAGGTAACACTGATCCAGTAGGAAAACCCAAGGTGGGTGGAACAAAGGTATGGTAAACCAATCAGATTATGAGAATAATCACAGGTAATGTTGATTAAATGGGGGTCAAGTGGGGTAGCAAGTTTGTAGCTAGTATGCATGGACTGATAGAACAGGGCTTTTCCTCAAAGATGAAAGTAAACTGATTGGCTGGCTTGGAAAAGACTCAGACCTGGCTGAAAGGATAAATGGGGTGAGAGTGGGGCTAAAATCATACCCCTTTCCTTTAGGAGTTGCATCTCCTATCCAAGGCGACGGGTACCTATTTACTATGTAGAATATTGGTTACTGTTCATCCTTGGGTGAGGT